GCGGATTGTTGTTTTTTTTCCCCCAATTTTTTTCTTCAATTTTTTTTTACATTTGCCTTCGGTCTCTTATTCCCCAAACTCCTTCTTTTTTTCCCTTACCGGCATTTCCTTCCCACTGTTTTCTCTTGTTCAACCTCTCTCTCTTGTCTTGTCCTCGCACGCTCACACAAAGAGACATTTGTTGCGAAAAAAAGGAAAGACGGAAAGAAAGAAAAAAATTGTGCTGCCGGACACGAGAGCCGGCTGCACACCGCATGTGTCATCTCTCCTTTTCTTCTCCGTGGTGTTTTTCCAACCTCGGCCTTATGGGTAATCTACGCTTAGAGGGATCCGCCCGAGGGGAGTGGCCACATAAAGCGCTGGAAAAAAAAAATAATAAAAATGAAAGAAACAACGCGAGAAGTGGGAAGGGAGTCGCATCCTACTCCCTGCAGTATCACCTTACCGGGCCTGGAAACACTCTGTTGTTTTTGGTGCATGGCCGTGTAATTTCCAAAACCTGAACGAGTTTTTTTTATTTTTTTAAATATTTTTTTCATTATTCCTTCCCCCCCCCCCCCTCTTTCATCCGCTTTTTATCAGTCCGAAGAATCCCCGTGTTTGGCAAAGAGATTGCTGTCTCATTCTGCCCGGGCGCGTTTGTAGGCCTACCGGAGGAAGGGGGTAATTTGTGTAATGTTTGCTTGCCCGTGGCACTACCTCCACTGAGGATTTGCTGGCGACTATTTAGAAATGAAAGCACAATTACTAAGGGGGTTGACATAGGAATTGCTTTATATGGCTGGGCCCCTGTCTCGCTTTATCCTGTATGCATGGGTCGTTGTTCAAGTCGGGGCTAAGTTTCGAAAGGGGGGGGGGTGAAGCAAGGGGATATCCTGCAGACGTGTGAGTGGGTGTATTGTTTTGTACTTGCAAGACAAATTTCGGAACAGTCGGGTTAAGAAGTAAATTGAACGTATCTCTTTTGAACATGCTGAACGCATTATTGTCGAGAAAAAGCCATTGGAACTTTTTTTTTTCTTCAAAACTTGGATCCTAAGTCCTGTTTCAGACCCTCATTTGTTTGTTTTGGGGTTTTTTGGGGCAAAGTAGTTGTAAGGCTTTGGCTCCTGAAATTGAAAATGTCATGTACATTGTAATCCAAGAACACTGTTTCAGGTGCTCACGTAAAAAAAAAGGATATAAAATAAATTTAAAAATAACAAACTGGAAGAGGAAAATCTTGTGATCAGTCACCATCAGTGATTCCACTTGCAAAGTTGACATGTGTGGATAATTTATGATGGGTCTGGCTAATACCGACAAAACAATCATCCACAACTTTATCCTCTTGTGATTGATCATGCAGTCTGTTTTTGAAGAAAACTTTGAAAGTTTTTTTTTTGGTGTGTGTGTGAGTGTTGGTTGGGTTGGAGGGGGGGGGGTTCTTTTCTTCTGTAATTGGCTGGGTGTTGAGCTCTCTGTAGTAACAACTCATAATCGGTATTAATAGACCCTTTTAAGTAATAACAAATCTTGTTTGAAATTAATTTAAAAAAACCCAGCTTTTCCCACCTTTGGATAAAATTTGTTTTCCTGTTTCATTTTCGAATGCAAAATAATTATAAATTAGAGATTTGATCACCACTACTCCCATAGACTTGTGCAGACTTTGCTGCATTGAAGTACAGATAATCACAAAATGTACTCCGTATGTAGTGTACAGATGCAGTGCCAATTTCGCTAATTATTTTAACGAAAGCGTGGGATCTTTCCCACCTTGTCAAGAACATAAATCCATGCATTTGAACTGGTCCCCTTCATCACGGTCACCAGTTGTTGGGGTTGGGCTTTGTTCTCTGTGTGATTGATGAGGTCGGGAGTGTTGATTGGCTGTTCCTGAGCGCCACCTGTGATGGTCCTGTCTCGCCAGTGTTCCCAGGAACCCACTGACAGATTTATGGCGGCGCTTGTTGTTTTGTGTTCACTTGCGTCTCAGACACTGTAAACCTACACTTACGTGATTTTGACACTTGCAGAAAATTCCAATTTTGAATTGGCCATTCTGTGGTTGAGGTGACAATTTCTAGTCAACTTTGTGATTGTTACTATCAATTTACAGTATTACACAGGGATGGGATTGGTCTGGATTTTCCAGATTTGTGGATTATAAAAAAAAATCAAAAATGGGGAAGTTTTTTGTGACTGCATTTTTTCTTGTACATCAAAAGTTTATCTGAGAGTTTTGCAATGGGCTGTTTGTAGGAGTGTCTTTTTATGCAAATTGTAGACCCTGTGTTACTCTGGGGCTCCGCCAAATATTTTTCATTGATTTTTTTAACCCCCCCCCCCCATCTCAGCCCTGGTTTTTAGAGAGTTCCATGATAACAAACCATCTCCTTCTTACAATATGTTTTTTTATTACATGTGTATATCCTATTAAAGCTGTTCTTGTATTATTTTTTAGGTATCTGTTCAACACCACTTTCTTTGTACTTTCTGCATTAAGTTTCTACAGCAGATTTTGGCACAAAAATAAAGACCTGTTTCCCAATGTGTGAATTAAAAACAATTTAAAGAAATTGCTTTTTGTGGTTAAACAGGCAGAGGGAAAAGAAGTCCATATGTTGCTGTTGATTTTATTTAAGAAAAAAAAAGTTTTTGCTTTATCAACTGGCACAGGTTCTGTAAATTGGCCCAGCGCTGTGCCGTGGGTTACGCACGGTTGACCACAGCAACTGCATCAATAGGCCCATTATTGTAATTATGGGCACAAGGACTGTTTACCTCCAAAAAGAAAAAAGAAAATCGGGGTGCTAAAAAGTACAGTCGCACTTTTACTAAATTATCAATTTGAAAAGATTAACGTCAAATTGTAGACTGATTTATGGTCTGTTCATTTGTGACAACTTGAGCCGCCTTTTTTATCACTCTCTCAGACCGGTTGATATTTTCATTTCTGTCGGCTTTTAATGATGAGGATCACCTGTCACTGTGAGAAAAAAGGGGCAGAGCCAACGAAAATAGTTTTGGGGGGTTAAATGTCATTGTACTTTTGAGATGTGTGAGTGTGCACTCTGATGCATGGGCGACTTGTTTGTCCAAAATTCTCACCATTTTTATTTTCTTTTTCTTTTTCCAGTTTGTTCTTCATGCGTTTGTTTATGCATGTTTGTGAAATTCTTTAATTTTTTTTTCTTTTTCAAATTCCTGTCTTTTGTAAGAGTTTTTAATGCCCCAAGGGATGTCACGGTTTAGTAAAGATGCCTACTTTGCAAGAAATATTGGACACAATTGGTTGCGCTCACGTCCTGGCACTTAATTTTTTTTTTGTTATCGCTTCAACGGTGAGCGCTTCCGATGGCCTTGTTCTTCAATGAATGGAGAAAAAAAAAGCAGAAAAAATTGGCAACAGTTTATTTTAATAATATCCCCTAATGGCAGCCTTATCAATTGACGGTTCGGTTGGGCCCCCAAAACACCCATTGTGTAGTTGTGAAAGTGGGTTGGTGTGTTTCATTTATTAGGTGCAAGCAATTTGATACTTATTATAGGATGATTTAGAAAGGACGTTTGCCCATTGAGTCCTGAATCAAAAAAGTGCAAGTTTTCAAAACAAGCCACCTTGATTTCTAAGTACATGCATTGCTATTGCTGCAGTAGCAACGGCTTCACTGTCCTAACCCCATACCCAAACCCACGACCTTCCCAGCCTAGTTTTTATTCAAGATTTTATTTTACTTGTCAGCGGTGATATTTGTCAGGATTTTTTCCTCGATTTTGGGATTTATTTGTCAGGATTTGTCCTGATTTCACAATTTTTAAAGAATCCCTTTTGAAATCTGGAATTTCTGAGGTTTTACTGTAAAGGTGTTTTTACCAGTTTTATATACAGTTTATATACAGGTAGAACAAAAGAAATGGGTATTTTTAGGGCTGCCTTGAGGCAACCCTCAAACTTTCAGACGATTATCTCACAAAAGAAATTAACCTTTGTACCGGTAGTTTCCCTCTATCAATATGAAATGGCAGTACATTTATTTTGGTGGTGTTTAATGTCTGGCTCCGTATTGATGTTGTGCATCGGGTCGGGTTAACCAGGCCAAACCGACCCGAAACATTACAGACATAAACCGAATTCAATCTGAAACCGATCTGAACTCCCCGAATCCGACCCGACCCGACCCGAAACCAAACCAACAGAAAAGACCCAAATATATCTGGCTTTGGCAACTGTGTATGCTTTTTTTGTGCCTGAACGTACCCATGTCGCATGGTAATCGTCATCTCTCAGTAAAGAGTCATACCGTACCGTGAAGACTCATAACGTTACCCACTGCTGGGCCTACGCATTTGTAGACTGTGTGATAGCCGCAAACCACATTCGCATTCGCCTGGTGGGAACTGTTGGTCTTACCGGTACATGTCACATTAACTCTGCAGTAATATTGCACAGCGTGAATTTCCGAACTGTTTTGTTTTGTTTTTTGGGGGTTTAGTTTGGGTTTTTCACAAGATGGCTTTACCGACCCGACCCGACTTGAAAATATTCAAATATTCAAAATCGACTCTGACCCAACCCGACTGAATTGATGGTCGGTATAGGTTTTGGGATGGGTTGCACAACATTATTCCGTATTAGATTATATCTCAACTGATGCATCTATTTTTCATTGACCCGTCATGGCATGATGGCATAATGAATGCACATTGACAATCATTATCTAAGTTGAATGATTCTGCCCATCTGTGCATTTTAACGTTTTTTTTTATTGAAGAAATATGTAGATCTGCAGATGTGTTTTTCTTTTTGTCTATGTTTTTTTTAAAGATTTGTCAGGCCTGAAATATTGATTAAGTTTCTAGCTAAGCATATTGACAATCACCTTGATACAAAGGTCAAGGAGACTTAGGTCAAGGAGACTTCGTTTTGCAACATTGTTTGAAAGGATTTTTGACCATTTTCAAAGTTTTCTGGCTCATTTAAAAAAAAATTGTATTATTGTCTGTGATTATTTCAGAACCGTCCACTCCAAAGAAATGTCGAGCTCGCTTCGGAGTCGACCAGCAAGAATTCTGGTGCAAACCTTGCAGGTATGTGTTTCATTTTAAGGCATTTTTAAAAAATCTCTTCCTTTAGTCATGTAGTGAGGAAAGAGGGTTTAAGACTAAGTCTGACAAAATCAGGAATTAGTGAGAAATTCCATATTTTTGTGTGTGTTTCTTCATTCCATGTATTGCTACATGTACCTTCCATTTACAGTCATCAATGTTAGTTCCTTTTGTTCAGCCGTCCAGCCACTATACCTGAATCTCCTTTTCCAGTATTTAACACAAGAGGGGGCTATTTGTAGTTACACAGAGTGATGTTGCCTTTTAACAAAGCTTTATAGAACACGGAAGAGTTTTGTGGAGCACTGTAACGGATCAATGATCAATCCATGAAAGAAATAGTAAAACACAGACTCCGAGCGAATGCTGAAAAACTCATCACAGTGTCATTTCTTGGAAAAATCTGTAAATAGAGAGTATAGTAATTAAAGGAATAAATAATAAACAACTATAATAAAACAAAATAATAAACAACTAACGATCCCGTTAGCTCGGTGGCCGAGTGGTGAGACATCTGCACTAGAAAGCAGGAGGTCGTGGGTTCGAGTCCCACCCGAGTGATTTTTTCCAACTTTCACTCGGGAGGTAACACACTGAGTATACAGTGTTTAAACCTCGGTGAAGGGCAAAACCTAATTTGATAAATAAATATGTGCTTGGCCAGTTTTAAACAAGTATATTTAAAACCAGCCGAAGGCGAAGGCCATTTTTTATGCACGACCAGGCCCCTAGCCGATTGTAAACGTACCAGCCAATCACATATTGATTCCCATTCATAAATACCTTTCAGTTAAAAAGTCGCAAAATTCCAAAAATTTCCAACAATTTTGTTCAACAATTTTACCTCATGTTTTGTGAAACACTCCTGTTGTGCCATGTTGTTCGATGTTGGAATAAAGTGTTTAAAACCAACCAGTGTTTTATCAATGAATATCAGCCCTTTAAGTATCAGCCATTTAAAACCACCCATGTTCGACCAATACATGTACCAGTAGGAATGATTAAACTGCCTCAGGTATTTATGAATTTTGCTTTAAGGTAATTATTATTATTATCCACAAATCATTATTAATATCCACAAATCATTATTAATTATTTTCCTTTTTTGTGATAATTTTATTACACCAACTAGGAGAAAGAAGAAGTGCATCCGGTACATCTGCTCGGATGAGAACGGCCAGAACAAAGACGACAGTTGCGACAGTGACGATGAGCCCAGCTTCTCCCCACCCGCCTCCCAGAGGATGCCTGATAACGGCCTGGGCAGCAAGGAAGGGCCAGAGATCACCAGGCCTGCGACCTCTGAACCCATGCCCCAGAGTTCCTCAAGTCACAACCACGCCCCGCATGGCGAGCACACCAACGGCCACAGTCACCACCGGGAAAGGGCGCCCTCGTCTTCGTCGTCATTGTCGGAGCCGCGAGCACCACCCCCGCCACCCCCACCACTGCCCCACACCCAGGCGTTCTCCAACGCGTCATCGTCCGCCGTCGTCAGTACCCATCAGCCCACAATGCATCCGTCGCCTTCGCCGATGGTCTCGCAGACGTCGCCGGCGATAGTACACCTCCCCCATCCCTCCATCGCGCACTCGGGTCACCCCATGTCCTTCACGAGCACGCCGCCCATGATGGTGTTCCCCTCGCAGTCTTCGCTCTTCGCAGCTCACGCCACCTCCCAGGCGGACATGCTCAGGGGACCGGCCTTCCCGAATGGGCTGACCCACCACGGACTCTTACAACTCCACGCACAATCGCGGCCGCCTCCCACACCCGAGATGCCGCAAGATCTCAGCATGAAATCTGCGACGGTCACGGCATAGTACAAAAAACAAAACAACAAAAAACTTGTTTCATAAATTAACAATTGTACATAGAGAACTTATTAATGAATAATTAACGTAAACGAAGAAAAAAAACCACGACGAAAAAGTACCACCGGCCGTTCATCCAGCTGCCAGTCTCTTGGGTTTTTTAAAGAGCGACGGGAAGCGATTGTGATACCTTGATGTTTTTAACTTTTCTTTTCTTGAAAATAAATAAAACTGTCAATAAGAATGTCTGTGTCTTCAGTGCGTCGGAGGATGTGCAGCTATTTAAGCAAATGGAAGACGGGAGTTATGTTGGTAAATGTTTACCTTCTTTTCTGTTTTCGTCTGATGTATTCGTGCTGCAAATTAACACAGAGTAGGTCTGGTCTAGTGAAACTTTTAGCTTGGAGATAGAACTGATAGACCCATGGAGGTGGCATTTGTACAAGTCTGAGCATTGCTCAAGAAAATTTACTGACATTGGAAAAGAAGGCGGATTGTGTCTGACTTGGATGAAGCTGGTGTAGCTTACAACCTGAAGCTTCCTCCCTCCGTTGATCAACCAAATACGCACCAGCCTCATAATTCCAATCCACAACTTTCCCAGCGTGTGGATATTTGTTGATGCAGTTATATACCCATGGTACTTGTGTAGTTGATTCAACAACCCAACTTGCTGACAAGCCAAGGAATTGTAGTTTTTACCAAATCAAGATTCCCGCACCTGGGTGTAATATCAAACTTTGGGACACTGCAGTGCATGCTGGGATAGGGTGAAAGAACTTCTTTAAAATGTCCCGAGAAGACAGGTTTCATACTCGGCGTGAAAACGAACAGGAATGCAAATTTGTAATGTCATGGCAAGTTTTCGCGCTGCAAATTCGTTTACAAAAAATGAACGTGTTTCAACTCCAGCGAATTTCGTAGCAAACATTTTATGACGTCAAAATTCGCTTTGTGTTCTCATTTGTGTGAAATGTAAACCAACCTTAATGCGTTGTAACCGTGTTTTGGAAATGCTGCAAGAAACGTCTCTCTACACTTTCATGGAAACACCGAGTAGCAGAAAGGGATTTGAGTTTGGTTGTACATTTTATGTATAGCGCCCTCGCTTACTCATGGATAAGGGTAAATGCTTCACTTTGATTGGCTGGCTACTTTCAGGAAAGACTGTTATCTTGTCCCTCGCACACCATTCTTTCTCGTTAAAACATCAAATTCACTTTCAGACTTCCAAGATGGAAAAAAAAAACATCTTCTGTATTCATCAAGTGATGTATTTATGTCAGTGTCCAAAAATGACCTTTCAAAGACAAAATCCAGTATTGATATTTTTTAGTACCTGTTTTGTAACTTAAATAGATACCCCAGACATGTTTTTAAAGATTTTTTATGCAAAACAAAGTTAAAACTGTTGAACTGCCATCACCAAAAAAAATTAGTATCTGTTACCTGAAATGTTCTGTCAAAATTGTTTTCCTTGGGTTTTGAAAACTTTCAGGATTTGTTCGTTTTCAATCATGCTAAGTTTTAATATATCAGTGTTTGAATTCCTGTTGTCTGGAAGATTTGAAAACCTGGAAGCTACTATGAAAATAAGATACTCTGATAAAAATTGAACAAGTACACTTTTTGAAGAAAATTTTCCAATGTTCACATTTTGAAATCCTTCAACTTCTACATTACGTGTACTGTTTACTAGAAATGTCATTCAGTGTGTTGAGTAGAACTGGCCAAATCCTTTTATCTGACAGAGACCACTTTTAAAGAAAGTCAGTTTGGGATCCTTTCAAGTCCGTTTTATGTGGTTGAATATCTACAACGTCCAGAATCTCTTTCCTTCAAAAAGAAAATAACTCGCTTTTCTCCAAGGTTTTAGTCAGATAATTGCTCCAGCCAAAATCTACTTACAAATTTCGATCTTCCAAATCTTCAACTGTCTATTTTTAAACAAAAAGATTATGATCGGGTCATTCAAACAGTCCTTCAGATAGTTTAGATCAAACCAAAGATTTTTATCGCAAATTATGCACCGTTGAGACAAAGAAACTGCAATGATGGATCCAGGATAGTCTTGAGAAATTGAAACGGGATTGAAGTCTTGCAAAGTATTACTTATGTAAAATGTGGTAATGTAAAAACGGAAAAATAAGGTCAGTTGGTGAAATTTAAGGAAAGATTTCCTAAAAAGGGTACAAAAGTTCTCTGATTTTATGATGGTTTTGTACATCTTGTTCTTCAAAATCTGATTCAGTCGTTAAGAGAATTTCATTAATTAAAAGAACTGTTTCATCAGTTCATTAATTGAATCCTAAATAGAACGGTGTATAGAAAATGTGCACAGTGCATTTTTACACTGTTCATGACATGCAAGGGGAACATATCCTGGCATAATTTGCCCACCAGAGGGCAGCAAGCAGTATCATTGCTGAACACCAACTAAATCTTCCAAAAGAATTTTGTAAATTGTAGTTGGTTTGCTTGAAATTTCCAGCGTACTAGGCTCATGACATGGGGAGATTCCCCATGTTCTGAGCCTAGTTAGCTGTTGCTAGTTCAAGGTGATCTTCTTAGTATCATCCCATTCTGATAGAAGAAGTCTCCAACAAGTAACTTTAATGAACAAAACAAATTAAGAAATGTACCACCAAAAGTTTTTCCCCAAGCATTTTTTTACTAGAATACTTTTGATAACATTTCAATGCAACTTTGAATTTTCAGTGTTTGAGGACACAAGACAGAAAACATGGTCCTTCGGGAGCGTCTGTAACTGTGCAGATGATGAACTCCTCTCTCACCGATATGACAGAGAATTGTTTTGTTTGTTTGTTGGCCTGGGTATTTTGAATAAGAATGGTGGCCAGGGTATTTAGAAGAATTCTGAGACACACCACATGTCCAGTGTAGCCTGGATGACATACCATAAAAGAACTCTTGGGTATACTAAAACCCTGTTTGGTTTTACTCAAAGTGTTTCGGCACTTTACTGATCTGGTCTTGTGCGATGATTGGTTTATTGTTGCGATGGGAAAAAAAAAATGCAATTCTGTTTACAAAAATCACAAATGTTTCAGCACATATTCAGTGCCGTTACCTAGATGTGTCGGAAGTTAATTTTGCCACTTGTTTTATTTTTAGAGTGTGTCGAAATTTAGAGTAAGTTTCTTGCGTCCAAGTTCCATTTCTAAAATTGTACGTCCTTTTGCAAACTGACTAAATTCAGCATTATTAATTCATCCTACATTAGAAATGTCAATTTTAAATTATTATTCCCAATTATGAAGAGCAATTTGTATTTTTCATATCAAAATGAATCATGAAATATAAATTTTCCGTCTTCGTTCATCTCAGTGGAATTATTAAAGTTTTTAAATTTAAGGATATATACTTTGATTTTTACTCTCCCTCCCCCCCCCTTCTTTGTCTGAAATTGATTCAAAATCATGAACGGATAGAGGAAAACCTATGTGTTGGGATTTTTTTGAAATAATGTTTTAATGTTTATTACTTACAAGATTATATATATTGTCAGCATTCAGAAGGATTTGTCTTGTTTCCAGGTGATGTGCATTGTTTCCCTAAAAAGAAAAAAGACTAAAAAATGGCACAGCTTTTAGCCAAAACTTATTTATTGGCTAAATATGTCCTTAATTTCCAGTTTTAAGGTCAACCCACATTGAATACCGTCAAAACACTGACGCAATGGTCCAATACAATTGTTGGTTGTTTTTTTCCGCAATTGTTTCCCAAAAGATATTGCCAAACCAACCTATTTTGAACAATTCACCTATTAATTATGGAATAAACTTGCTTTACTTTTGTTAAAAAACAGGAAGTTATAAGTATTCAGTTTTGCACTGCATTACGTCGTGACTGGCCTCAAAAGTAAAATGAATACCAGCCAAACGTAAGGGCACATTACTATGTAAAATTGTGGCTAGAAACCGGTGATAAGCAAATTCCGTGATAAAGCCCATCAGTAAACTGAGAAGTTGACAAGGGGTCGGCTAGTAGTTTGATGATGTCATTGGTCTATTTTAAGAACCACGTCAGCCAATCCCTGTTCAGTTCAACCTCCTTGTGCCATATTTGGGGTTTTTTTTTAGGGGAACAATTCTGACAAGCTCACCATTTTGGATGGAAACAGTTACTATGTCAGCCAGCAATAGACGTCATTGTCTGGTGTTTTTGAAAGAGTGTTTGCAACAGAACACTCGCCGTTGAGAATCTTTCTTTTTTATTAGCAGTTTTATATTTAATAGTGAAACCGATTCGAGTAGTTTGGAGACAGTTTTGTTTTGTGTTAATACCTCATTTGACAAGTGTTTGAAACGCTTTTTGAGTTATTTTTGTTACAGTTAATAATACTCCCATAATTCTCTTCCGTTTGGTTTTTGCACCGTGTGTAAACATAACAGCGTTATATTAAATGTACGTATGTTGTTTTTTTGAAATTGTTCATGTACAATGGACGGATAATTAATATGTATGATAAAATAAATTTGTTCAGTTGGTACAAAAATGTAAATAGAAAATGGTGTGTTTTGGTGCATTTTTTCTAATAGATTTCAGCTCTATCCATTCTGTTAAAAAGTGCAACTACACAAAGAAGGCTTATATTGCTTTGCAGCTTGGTTGCTTCAGATAAAAAGAACCTAAATAAGGTTACAAGAAGACAATAGTTTTCTATTAATACAGTCATTTAATTACAAAATGTACAAAATTTACATTTTTTTTACAAGAAAGGTAACTGGTTTTTCTTTTACCCAACAAGTGAAGTAATTTTCATAGTCTTTTTAAAACGGCCTTTAAAATAAGATCAAAGGGGGAACCGATTTGAAAGTAAAATCCAAAGCAACAGAATTGGTCATAGTAGATAGAAAAGCTAACTGAACATCTCATTACTGTGCAATTAACCGGGTCTGGTGCCCTGAAGCTGTGATGAGGCCAATAGCACTGAATGTAGATGAATGCTACCAGACTCGCTCACTGTTCCTTGTAGCCTCAGTCCTATAGACTAATTGGGCGGCAGCCATTTTCTGCGGTGGCACCGGGCTCACGCGAGTCGTGCTCAGGTAAAACGCATGCACTCTGGGCTCCTTTGACAAATAGGGGTTCCAAGATACATGCCCGCCTAGTCCTTAAGAACGCGTGTGCGATATGTGCATGAGCGTGACAACACTGCAAAAAAAAAAAGGGTTCTGATTTTGTTCAGCAAATTTCATTATAGACTTGTATGCACGAGAACCAGGTTCTCGGCCAAGCAAAATCCAAGAACACATCCTTATCGGCCATTTGTCTCCAATTTGTCCCAGTGTGTTTGGAATTGGATGCATCTCCATGCGTACTGCATGTCGTATCCCTCCTGATGCAGAGATCTAGAATGCCTTCCTGACAGCTTCCAATGCGTCGTGACATAACTTGTCCAACTGACCGTCGCTCCCTGCAGCAAGGACAGAAAATTAAGTACAAATGTTACAAAGTTACACTGGTTTTTGCCCCTCTGGGTCATTTTAAAATTGAACTAAGGTGCATTCCACTTGGAAAAACAACTCAAACATTGCCAATGTTTGCAATCTTTTTCATGCATATTCAATGGGAAATTATTGAGAAAAGTTTGCAGTTGGTGTAAGTTGGTGCAGTTGTCCTTGCTTTGCATGCATAATGCTTCGTGTATTAGTGTCTCACAATAGGAAAGTTCTTATTTGGGATGTTCCTTTTAGGAGCACAGAAGGTATGGGAACTCACTTCGTTTTGCAAGGCGACTATTCTTAAAGTTTTGGTCTTAAGGCTGTGGATAGTCACTGTACTATGTCAATGCTAAAAACTGAAAAACTGTAACCACAGCCACAAAACAGTCAATTTTGACACAGCCTCAACATTCACTCACACACATTAAACAAGGACTTCCAAGATTGAAACGTGTCTACCTACCATAGTCCATCTGTGTGATGTCGCATCGGTACACTGTCTCCCCGTTCACAATCAGCTCTACTTTATTCCAGTCATCGATGGGGCACAGCTCCACGGTGTGACCGTCTCCTGACAGCAGAGCTACGAGAAGAAGATTGGTAAGTGGTTTGGGGGATATCCGATTTAGGCCTAATTTTTTGTGTTACTGGTAGTGATCTGACAAAAGTTCTTTTGCAACAGCACTGGTCAGTCACCACCGTTTAAATTGCATCTGTGCCTGCTTTTTTCAAACACAATTTTTAAGACTGATTTCCTGCGAGTGTCGGGAAGGGTAATCGCAGACACTGCTTTTGTGAATTTGAATGAAGGGCCCCCAGGTAGAACAGTTCATTGACAACTGATGGGGCTATAACACGAAATATATAAATAAAAATTAAACTGAAAAACAAGTAGGTCGAAGTGTGAAGAGAAAAGACACAGATATTGCCCCTTTTCCCTTCCCACAGTGAGACAATGACATGCACACTTTGAATTTAATTAGTGGCTATTGTTACAGCAGCCGTAACGTAATTTTTGTCTGCTATATATCGTTATGGCATTGCAAAAACACCATCACAAATCTATATATTTATAACTGCCCCACCAACCAGAGTGCTTTGGTAGCTCGATTGGTTAAATGCTTGACTACCATGCAGAAGGTCCTGAGATTGTGGGCTGCCGTAACAATAGCCGCTGCATTTAACCTACTTTCATCGTCACTGAATTGAATCTTACTTAGGCAATCTAGTCTAAGCAAAACTTGTCCAGTCAGTGGGGACGCTAAGTAATTCGCATGCATCTGCATCATGCCTGACAAGGTCTTGGTCACAAGTATGTGAAGGTATACGAGTAAAAGATGGCTAGGCCCTTGCCTACTGGTACTGCGATTTCAGAAAAAAAAAACATAGGCCTAGTTTCACACGACCACGGTAGCCTACCTTGCAAACCTTCCAATCGAGATGTTCGGTGTTCAACGATGCCACACGCTCGATATGGGCCATATCGCACCGTAACTAGTGCACTTTTCGGCATATTTAATCACTGTGTATTCAACTTCAATATTCTTTCACACGCAGTTCTTCGGAATTTTGTAAAAACACCAAGTTTCTGAAGTAGAAATGCGGGAAATTGATAGGGAAAATGTGTCCTGTTGTCTAGATACGGATCGTTTGTTGTGCTCAGCTGTCATTACTCCACCAAATAGTAACCGCCCCACACCAAGAGAGGGCGCCCCAGGCCTCGCTCGCGATATGATCGCAAGAGGGCGCTATAGCCCGAAGAAGGATTGAGACTTCTACCGACTTCAAGATGGCTGCGTACAGGAGAGGTTTGACGCAATCGTTGCGAAGAATTTATGTAATCAATTCCACTCGAGTGTAAGTCGCCATACGATACATATCAAATTGAAACAGATGCTAGGCTATATTTTGTTAAGCCTGTGACAGGTTTTTGTTACTAATACTACTAATACTAAGCCTTGTACAACTAAGTAGGCCTAATTGACATTCCAAATATGCTTGCTGCCGAACTGGTCGACCAGTTGAACATGTTGATGTTGAACTTTGGGAAGGGGGGGGGGGGGGGTGTGTGATGGGGTGGGGATATTTAATGACTAGTTTTGGAGAAAAAAAATGTTGCAACCTGACGCCACTTCAGTGGTTGTGTACAAAGTGTATGGAGAGTCAAGAAACTTTTCTAAGTATTTCCTTACAAAATTGGAAATGTTTCTCACTATCTCAGTCCCAGATTCATGTCTTATTAGCTGGAGTTACTCTTATCATTTTTGCAATGACTGACCTTCATTGAGATGATAAAGAAAAAAGTGGCATCAGGTTGCAACATTTTTTCCCTAGTTTTTTATATTTAATCCTGATGCCAACTTTTTCTCTATTTTCTAAGGCAGTGTATTTTGACCATGAACTGTTCCCTGAATTTTTTTCTCTCTTGTACTTGTAGCCTACCGGCACTGCATTGGACTTGCGCAGTGACTGTTTTTTGGGGGTTTTTTTTGGACTCGGACATTTTTACTTTGATGAATCTTCGTCTGGTGCCTTTCTTACATTGTCATTGTGCGATCGCCTTCAGGAGATGGGAATGAGACCTATAACAGTTCCAGACTTTTAAATACTTCCCTTTAAAAAAAAATCCTTCAGAGCTACAAATCATAAAAACCCAAGATATTCTGCAATTAAATATAGGATTCAATTTAAAACAATAAAGGAAGAAAACTCATACTTAAGTGACATGAAATTTTTTTTAATAACAAACTTGGGTCACTTGGCCCTCACTCAGTCCAACGCCTTACCCGACAAACCATATGTTTGCTCAGTTCAAACGTGGGGTAATTTATTGTCCTATGGATACAGACAGTACTTGTATAAATGTGCTTGTGCAAAGTAAGTGCCGACACAAGAGCAGAAATGCAGGACCGGTTCACGGTACTTTAAACACTTCGAATTTATAACCACAGGATTGTCATTAATTTGAAATACGATAAAAGAAGAACAACTGAATTAAATTTAAAAAATGGACTGAAACATTTGTAATCTTGCTAGAAAATACATTTACTTGAAAAGTAGACTCTGTACACGATCACGAAATGGCATCAGGATACTATATTCCTTCCAGATTAAAACAGTTATACAATGCAATCCCAATACTCTGTAGTTTTCTCCAGACAACAGTCAAATTGAGGTCAAATTAAAATAAGTTTATTTTCCCTTCACTGTTAAACCTTGCGACTACGGCTTCAATATCTATGTTGCAATTTACGGAGGCTTAGAAAAAGTCATAAGTAGGTTGCACTATGTATTCATATTTATCCCAATTTTTTTCTTCAAATTTTCATTTTGTACTTTCTTAATTCACAGTGCCAATGGTAGAGTGCAGTCCGAGCCAACAGCAGTGCGAGGCATTCACATTCTTCAGTCTGTAAATACAACCACACAAGGGAACTCCAAACAGCTTCTACAAAGATGGGCTCCGACACCTAGCATTCAGCAAGGTAGCTTGACATTGCATTGGTCATTTGTTCTTCAGGAAATTGCACTTTGTTTAATTTCTGAATGTTTTTACTTTGGGAGTCAAATATCCAGATTTGTTATTAACCCTAACTCCCCAGCCTAATTTACTAGGAACCATACCCATTCAGGCAAATTCCAACACCGACATGGGAAATTGTACACACACACTGTTGGACTTAGTTTCTGGAGGTATGCCAACCCCAGTGTAAAAGACCATCAGTTTAGGGGTACTGTACCTATCCCAACAGATTTAAACACAAACCTGCTGTTGAACTTTGATGGGTTGTGTTCGGTTAGGGTTAAGTTATAACAAGTAAATTGCAAGTTGCCTTAAGGCGGTGGTTTCTAAGTTTGGTCTGTAATTGTTTTCTACTCATTAGATGTCACATTATAAGTGATGTATCACATTCACTTTTCCAACAGCAGCTCATTAAAGTGTCTGAAATGTACATCCGAATTTACGGAATTCCCCGGATCAATCCCTCCATGTTATGCTTTTTATGTGTTGTCTCTGTTTATCGTGTACAGCCAGGAGTATGTTCATTCAGACCCAGGATACCCCTAACCCTAACAGCCTCAAGTTCATACCAGGCGTCCCCGTCCTAGACCAGGGAGGGACGGTAGACTTCCCCAGTGCCAGGACAGCTCACAACTCGCCTCTTGCAAGGTAAACTTAGCTTTTGTGCTTGTAGGTTACTTTGTTAGTATGGCAGGGCCAAGTTTTACTTGTAAAATTTTATATGAGCAAATTGAAGGCTGTTGAAATTTAAGCGATCGTCTTCATTTCTGTCCTTTAACCCTAACCCCCTAGGCCCTTCTTGCTTACAACCATCCTCAATCCTCCAAAATCCTCCAAAATTTTGCAACTCCGCCTAAATTTTTCAAAATTGTCAGACAGTCCTGCCTCAAAATGCATTCATCCTCAATCCTCCAAAATCCTCCTCATCCCAAAACTTTGCGCTCGTGTTTAAATGAAGGATAACCAACGCCAAATCCTTCAAAATCATCAGACAGTCCTGCCTCAAAATGCATTCATCCTCAATCCTCCAAAATCCTCTTGTGCTTCATTCACCATTCATCCTCAATCCTCCAAAATCCTCATGTGCTTCAATCACCATTCATCCTCAATCCTCCAGAATCCTCATTTGATTCAATCACCATTCATCCTCAATCCTCTAGAATCCTCCAAAACCTTCAGGAGGATTTTGGAGGAGTGAGGTGGGTTAGGGTTAACATTCATTCTTTGGCTTTTGAAATATAGATGGAAGGGCAGACATAAGGGGGTTTGTTTGGCTGGCATACCACCCCCTTTCACCTTTTGTCAGACCTATAATTATTGATATAATATTACTGAGGAAATTCCTTCCTGAAGTTACATCATGAAAAAAAATGCAAATCTTGTTCACTGCTTTAATGTGGCCTTAGTTCTTGGTATGTCTTGGCTTCAACACTTCACCCCCTCCACATCTTCCCCACCCATGAAGAAAATCCTGCACTTCAGGCCCCAGCCACCCCCTTTGAAAATCTTGGAGCCACCAATTGGATCACGAATAAGAAATTATAAACAGATTTAACATTTTACTGAAGTTTGACTCTTTTGAACTGGCAACCATGCAAAGGGCACCTAACAATTTCAACCCCCCCCCTACCAATTTGCCTTTGACAAAAGTCCTGCCAGGATCGAAACGTTAGGCCCTGTAAAAAGTGTGACTTGTGTAATCAGGTCAATCCAATCAGTGAGCAGTTTGCAGAAGTCTTATTGATTTCTAATTTTCAAATTTCCTCAAACAAACTATTCAATAATGTTGCAACCTTTTATTCTGACAGACTGCTATTTCGCATTGATGGTGTCAAAGGCGTCTTCTTTGGCTCGGACTTCATCACCATCACAAAAGTCGACGATGACACCACGGAGTGGGCCGTCTTGAAACCGGAGATCTACGCCACCATCATGGATTTCTTCACCAGCGGGCTACCGGTGATGACTGACGAACAGCCAGCGGCAGATACAGGTATTTCACTGGTTCCCAATGACCTTAAAAAAATTATGACATTTCAATGGTAGCAAGTAGGAAGTGTTGTGGAAATATTGGAAGATATTCAGAGGAGATGAGGCACTTTGGTTGCACATTAATCAAAACATGTTCATCATGAAAATTAAACCAAGATATGGAAGATGAAGCAGTTCGCATAATTAGGTTTAAATCTGATTTAAGTTTCTACTAATCCTATCAAATAAGGTTTTGCCCTTCACATTTATAAATACCTAAGACAGTTGACCCATTCTTATTGTTTAAGAGCCCGTCACGTGGTTGGTTGATAAAACACCTTTTTTTTTTACCGACACTGCTGCATTCTGTGCCACATCGTACTACTCGCATGAGGCACATACCATAAACAGAGATCGAGGGGTGTTTAAAAAACATGAAGTAAAACTGTTGAACAAAATCGTTGCAAATTTATAATTTTTGACTTCTTGGCCAAAATGTATTTATGAATGGGAATAAATATGTGCTTGACCCCGGTATTAAATAAGTAAGTTTAAGACTGGCTCAGGGGCCAGGTCACCAATAACGTCCCTCGCCTTCGGCTTGGGCCATTATAAGCGTCAAGCCTCCCAGCCGGTTTTAAACGTACTTGTTTAAAACCTGCCAAGCACATATTTATTTATTCCCTTGTAAAATGGGCAGTTGCCATAATCCAGAGCATAAAACTGGTTTGCAAACTGGTTATTTTGGCGACTTTTTACCGTGATCAGAGAATGTGCTCTTGTTGGAAAAATTGGGCAACTCCAAAATGTTGAGTGTCCACCCTACAGCATGTATTGGTGATATGTATAAAACAGTGTCATTGATCCTAACCAGTTCAAAACTATTCATAACTCTAGTTATCCTGAGTTCACGATAGTTTGTGATAGTTTACGGCAACCACAAAACTGGGTCTACCTTTTCAACTCTGGTTAAGCAGATATTTATAAAACAGTTTCATTGATCCTAACCAGTTCAAAACTACTCGTGACCCTGGTTACCACGAGTTCCTGATAGTTTATGATAGTTTACGGCAACCACAAAACTGGGTCTACCTTTTCAACTCTGGTTAAGCAGAGAGTCATGAAGATAATGATGAGACAGCATGTATTGGTGATATTTATATTGTGTCATTGATCCTAACCAGTTCGAAACTACTCTTAACCCTGGTTATCCTGAGTAGTTCACGATAGTTTATGATAGTTTACGGCAACCACAAAACTGGGTCATATCTTTTCAACTCTGGTCAAGCAGAGATTCATGAAGATGATGACGAGACGGTTGCAATGATCAAAGAGCTTCTAGACACACGGATCAGACCCACGGTACAGGAGGATGGTGGAGATATCGTATACATGGTGAGTTGCAAGATACTGAATAACTAACCAGATACTGTCCTTACTCTAAGGAATCATCTTAGAACAAGTTCGGGGGCGAAATACAGTTAACCATAGCTCGACTAACTTTGCTCAAATGAAGAATGGTTGGACTACTGTCGACTATTTGGAACCGGACAACGTTGCACCGTCCCATCACTGGTTACCAATAGCCGCATGCATCATAATGCACAGCAGGGAGCCAGGATCAAGAGGTTTTGTGGTGACGTTTTGACCAGTGTTTGACTAGAGACGTTCGCACGTTGCTATTAGTGCGCAGGCGTACATTACGTCACAAATCAACCCCTAGTCGATTAATGTTCCTCACCCGAACTCGCTTGTCATAATTCTGGATAGTTGTGGGGAATATGTCCATGATAGGGTAATTTTGTTTCATTTATTCTGAGATTCTGGCAGAGAAGTTCGATTATAGACACTGCTTGACTGGGCAGAGCTGACTATACAGCAGAGGTCCCAGATATTACTGACCAAGATATAATCAGCCCACTAGGTCAAATTTCTCCTAAAGTTCTGGATTATTTCAAAGATTACTCCAAACCTTACCTTGTCTTGCAAAATCCACTCAAAAAGTTTTGTTGGCCTTTGCAGGATGTACATGTGCAATGTGAAAATTAATCGATCTCTACTTTTCATAGGTGAAAATCTTTCTCGTAATTTCTCATAAAACAAGTAGTTTAATCTGAAAATTTATTATCGAGGTGCCAAGCCCAAAATCATGGGCACACAATTTTTAAAGCTATAGTCCATCATTTGTTATTTGTGCATTTTGTTCGTTTGAAGCAACAAAAGTGCTCAAAATCTAAAGAAGGGTGCTGAACAACTAACCTGTTTCAGCTCAGCTTCAGCTGTATATTCTGAGAAAAACAGCATTCTAGGATCTCAATTTCAAATCAAACGTTGCTGAATCATGTTTTGAATTGCGCCTGAATTCAGCGTCCGAGACACGTTCTTGCTGAGCCGATAGCAGCTACGCGATGTCGCGCACTGATCCGACGAATTATAGCAACCGGGAGTGCGTGTGCGTCGTGCCAATGCTTGTGCGCGCTTCGCCAAATAACAAAACGAACTACTAATTTCAATTTTGCTACGGTGCGTCTTAAGAAGCACCGTTGGAAAGGCCTTCTTTCGTTGATTACTTCAAAATGACAGCTTGCCAGAAAGAATAATTTCACAGGGAGTTTAGTCCCCTTACTATCTTTCAACCAAGTATATATTTCAACAATAATTACGCCAGTTACTTTTCGGATAGCTGCAAATGATGGACTATAGCTTTAAAATTTATTTAGAGAAACACACCTGAATGTGAATGTACATACAGTCTCTCTTATATTTAAACCACTGCTGTGTGCTCATGCACAGAATCCATTCCTCCTAGAGACCGCCTCGAACTTTGTCTTTGTAATTTCAGGGTTTTGAGGACGGCATCGTTAAGCTCAAGATGCAAGGAGCCTGCACCAGCTGCCCCAGCTCGGTGCTGACACTGAAGAGTGGTGTACAGAACATGCTGCAGTTCTACGTGCCAGAAGTCATCGGAGTTGAACAGGTAAGAGAAAAAAACACAGAAAATCTTTCAACACTGGCAGAGCAGGGAAAGATATAAAAAGGTCTTAACAGCCTTGTCAGATCAGGGAACCATACTAGCTAGCTTGCACTCATGCAACTTTTCAACAATGGTCGGCCGACCAGCGTTGGAAATTGCTACAAAAATTCCACTTTTCTTAAAAATGACAGCACACAAGGGCCAGGGTTTTACAGGATGCTTGAGACTATTATTCACTTACAGTCAAGTGAGGTATTTCAAAATAATTTGGTTGTCTTGTTTTTTGACGTTTGCAAATGTTGTATATTACTTTTAATGTGCCACACATTTTGCTGAGAGTGTACCAGGAACAGAGATGTTAAGATGTACCTCAAGTTAATGTTTGATCTTCCACTTAAAAAAACCAAAATACCTCAGAAAAGATGTCACAACTCCCTGTCATAAGTGAAATTATAATTTGGACTCAATTTGATGTCACTCCATGAATTCACTGTGAAACACTGCTAGGATTACGAGCAGGTTTTAAAAAGAAACAAACTGTAAGTGTGACTAGGGCCAGTTATTTACAGTTGAAGTGAAAAAGAGAAGTTATGCAGTTGCTCTTTTGAACGAAAAAGAAAAGTCAGCACTTAAAGCAAGCCCTTCCAACAAGATTCAACTTCAATTGCCAAACATACCTAATATCACAATTTAAAAAAAACCCCTGTTGTACAGATATGACGTACAGATATTTCTTGTTTTAAATAGAAATTTCATTTCTCATTTTGTTTCAGATTGAGGACGAGGCTGATCACGTCACCAGCGAGGAATTTGACAAATTGGAGAAGAAACTTGGGGAGGAGCCGACATGAGCTTGAAGACTGATGAGGGTTTGGTGAGGAGCAGAAATTGGACTTCACTCTGTTGGGCACAGTTATCATCCCGTCAATCACAAGTCAAATCACAAGTCAAATCACAAGTCAAATCACAAGTCACTGAAACGCACAATGTCAAAGAAATGCCTTTGTTACAATTTATAGTTATTTTGAATAGCTTGGTATTTTAAACCTTGGACCAATTTCATGGCTCTGCTTACCACATAATTCCGCGCTTACGATCACCATTCTGTGCTAACCACGCCACGCTAGCGGAACAATTCTGCGCTAACCCTGTAAGCACACAGTCCTTATTTACGGGATGTACGCATGCGCACAAGCCAAAACTCCTTGCTAAAGCGTGAAATCCGCTTATCGTAAGCACGGAATTGTCTGCTATAGTAAGCAGGGATTTTTCGCTAACTGTAAGCAGAGTCAAGAAATTGGGCCCAGGTGACTTGTGACCGACATGTGGTGAGCTGTGACTGCCTCGATTATAACTGCTTTTGGTATGAATGACTATGTCATCTAGGGCTGTCCTAAATATATTGAATATTCAAATATCCGATCATCAACTGAATATTCGAATAGCTGTTTGCCAGTTTGAATATTCAAAGAAAAAAAACTGCACACACACAACTGTGATGTTATTTTACTCGTAAAGTTGCGGCGCTTTATTGTCAGATGCCAAAGGCGAGTCAATTACTTTTAAAATATGTCGATATACACATGATAATCTTACAACTTCAACATGCACATGCAACTCTCAATCAGCGGCCCATAATATCGATCACTGCATGGAAATTTAACCCGGCGTGTTTTGCGTGCAACTTTTGATCGGTGCGGCACACACTTGTAGCTGCCACGTTAAAACTTGATCGGTGAGTTTCAAATATTTGGTCAAATGCACTTTGGAATAATCAAATACTAAATTATTCTAAAATGGACAGCCCTTATGTAGTCGTGTTTTCGTTAACAACCTATATTATTTGAGACTTCCGTTTGCCATCCAATGCATCCAATGGAGAGTTCATATTTGTTCAAACTTCTCAATGCACACCTGCAGTATTTGTAACAATATAACTTGTTTAAAGTGCCAGGCATGCTACCGTGCTACTGCTAGTCAAATGTTACTGGTTATGTTTTCTTGCTGGCTGATGTTTCCACATGGTGTCACATATTCATTACATGTTGAAGGCAATAGATCTCTCTCATAGGACGTCATCTTCATTTGAAAATTACAACCGTGTATCCAATGCAATCAGGTGTGTATGCGCGCAGTGTGCAAAATGTTCTTAACATGCACGCTTGTTGCTCAAAATGCGGGGCAGCTGATGCACATCACAAAATTTCGACGCCAAAAATGCCGATGCACGTGGCCAATCTGTTGGAAGTAACGTCATTTGAGAGAGACCTATATAGCCTTGTGCTTTGGTGCTGAAAATTCAAGAACTTGTTAGAATGTTGGCTTATATTGGGTGTGAGTCCAGCTAATGGATTGAATCAATTGTGGAACCCATAGAGCTGAGGTTATTATAGCAATGATTTATTTGCCTTAAGAGCAGGGTAATAATTAGTTATCAGTTTTTGCTCATGTGTATACTTTGTAAATACAAAAGAACGGAATTGACAAACGATCCTTATGAAACACCACTTTCGGGAAATTGACCAGTGAGGTCTATTGTAAAAAAAACAACCTTTTTTAATCTAAAATGTATTTCATTTACGTGTTCTACTATAGGCATTCTTTATAAGATTGTTATTATTGTATAAATGATCTTTATTTATCAGATTGTTATTGTAAAGATTATCATTATCATTGATACATCACTTGCTACACAAACAAAAGACTTGAGACCCAATGACGTCACACTTTGTTTACATGTGCGCTTTCTGATGGGAGCTTGGTTGCTCTCGTCCCTCCTGGCCCCCATAGGAAAGCGCACATGTAAACAGAGCGCGACGTCATTGTCTTTCAGGTCTATTTCATGTAGATTTTGGAGTCAAGTCCTGTTCCGAGGCTGAGAGGTAAACTGAACTGAATTTTGTTGGTGGTATGTAGAAGAAATTAAGCACTGAATGTATGACTGCACAGTCCGTGTACCCAATACATGTACATGTAGTTGGAATCACATTTAGTTAACGTAATCTCAGCTTGATGTCTTCTTCTTGTGGACTTGGACTTGATTTGCAATGCTGGAGCGATGGCGTCATGTTCTGATTTTCCACAGAAGCTTTAAAATCAGTTGTTAATCAGTAAATGTGTGGCTGAAGCAATGATTAAAATAAAAGTGGAGTCATTTTTATTTAATTTGGGCAGTCTAGCTGCCTAGAGGAGTAATGATGTGATTATTGAAGAAATAAAGAGAAACAAAATGGAACAGAAAGATTTTATACCTTGTGTGTTCACTTTATTTAGCATTTGTCCAAGACTGAAATAGTAATGCATGTTAATAGCTTAAAATAAGAGCAAGATGGGTTATAAATGAATATTGATAAGAATGAATATTAATGAATATTCATAAGGAAAAAGAACGATTTAATGAATATTCATAAGGAAATTAATGAATATTCATTAGGCGGAATATTAATGAGTGAAAAAAAATGAGAATATAGTTGAAAAGTGGTAGTACCTCCCAAAATTCGGACCCAAAATTCGGACCCAAAATTCGGACCCAAAATTCGGACCCAAAATTCGGACCCAAAATTCGGACCCAAAATTCGGACCCAAAATTCGGACCCAAAATTCGGACCCAAAATTCGGACCCAAAATTCGGACCCAAAATTCGGACCCAAAATTCGGACCCAAAATTCGGACCCAAAATTCGGACCCAAAATTCGGACCCAAAATTCGGACCCAAAATTCGGACCCAAAATTCGGACCCAAAATTCGGACCCAAAATTCGGACCCAAAATTCGGACCCAAAATTCGGACCCAAAATTCGGACCCAAAATTCGGACCCAAAATTCGGACCCAAAATTCGGACCCAAAATTCGGACCCAAAATTCGGACCCAAAATTCGGACCCAAAATTCGGACCCAAAATTCGGACCCAAAATTCGGACCCAAAATTCGGACCCAAAATTCGGACCCAAAATTCGGACCCAAAATTCGGACCCAAAATTCGGACCCAAAATTCGGACCCAAAATTCGGACCCAAAATTCGGACCCAAAATTCGGACCCAAAATTCGGACCCAAAATTCGGACCCAAAATTCGGACCCAAAATTCGGACCCAAAATTCGGACCCAAAATTCGGACCCAAAATTCGGACCCAAAATTCGGACCCAAAATTCGGACCCAAAATTCGGACCCAAAATTCGGACCCAAAATTCGGACCCAAAATTCGGACCCAAAATTCGGACCCAAAATTCGGACCCAAAATTCGGACCCAAAATTCGGACCCAAGCGTCTCTTACTGCGGGGTGCAGGACTTGAACCCACAACACCTGGGTTCCCAGTCGGAACTACTAACCAGTGCACTACTTGGGTCCCCCCACTACAATTTCCTTTTTTATTAACTTAACTCTTAGGTTCCCTAAATAAATTTCAATTAAAAAGGTTCTGCATGGGATTGAACCCACAACCATCCAATTGTGAGACACAGTGCTTCCACACTAAGCCACACACAACTCTGAAAGTCTCTTACAAATTGTAATATTTCAACTTCCTGTTATTTTTTTGAAAAAAAAAAATCAACCTTCCAGATTGCTCTTTTTTTTTTTGGACAAACAAAAAAGGCAAACAATCGTTGTTTTTTTTTGAGGTACAAATCAAATTGTTTTGATCCAAACATATAATGCATTTGAACTTAACAGATCATGTTTTTCAGCTAGCTAGGGTTCAATTCCACACATCTCGAGAGAAGACGCAATAACAAAAACGAGTTACACTCGAAGAGTTTATTTCCAAAATGCGATATTTCAATCCATTCTTTTTTAAAGGGAGACATTTGCATGGTTATGAAACTTGTAAAAACAAACTTCTAAACTTCATTTTTGGCTTTACTCTCTTCTTTAAATTGGGTTTAGCTACATAACACCCATCGAAACTGACCTGGAGCAGCCAGGAGGATTTTACCTGGTGTTTATCGCTTTTTGGAAATCTCTTCAATTGTTATTGAAATTACTGATGACTGATTTGTTTTATTGAAATAATTATGACCGACAGAACAATTCATACACAAGAGAAAAGTAAATAATAACAGGAATAATTTGTATAGAAAACCACTGCCTTGCGATGTCATGGATAGTTAGAAAGGCAGTTTCAATAATGTTACATAGTACAGACTTCATACATTGTTAGTACGTACTCTGAAATTATTCTACAGTACTATTTACAGCTATTATACAAATGTGCATAAACACAGCATTGGTAGTTTATTTTAACAGATAATTTCAATAAAATCACTTGAAATACTTCCATGTGTGGCTATTGTTGGTCATTTTTGGTCCATAAAATATCAATCCTCCACAACAGTGTAAGATTTCAACTGAAAACTGTCCCGTTCATTATTGGTAATTTCCTGTTAACGTTTAAAGGCACAATTTTGCATGTTTCGCTGAACAAACAAATTTATACATAAAACTTCACATTACTGTTGATTCCTCTGACAAATGCACTTAGTTTCTAACATTAGGTGTTTTCCAACTAACCTAAAAACTTTGACGTTATTTTTTTCATCAAAAATCAAACATAATTTCAGTGTTATCCCAATAATAGTTTTCTTCTCTAGACACTTCCCTTCGCATCTCAGAAATAAATTTATCTTTTTTTCGTTCAAACCATGAAACCACAGATACTCTATAGTTTTATAAAACTAGAGACTTATGAAATAAATAATTTTGGAATCTGTTGAAGTCTGTGGTGTTGCATAACCATCAGAATGCACATCTATCAGCCTCGTTTCAACAATATGGATGACTGTATGTTACACAATGAGTGCGTTTGATTACTTCCCCCAGCTTACTCGCGCCTGGCTCCTCGCGTGATGACAGACATGCAGAGTGGAGCTAAATAAACGAACGGTTCCGGGTTAAGTTTTGTGCAAGGAGCTGGAAAGTTGAACTTTGACATGACACTGAGGCTGCATCTGAATCAACTGTCTAGAGCTAGGTCTAGGTCCGCGCCTATTGAAAATAGCGGCGGGGACGCGCTGACAATAGACGTAGCCGTGTCTCTGGAAGCCTGTTTCGGACACGGCCTGAGGTGCCCGCCGGACGTCACGTTGGCAGCCATGTTTATTGTATGGCCTTATGGGATACTTACCCAAGTTACCGGCTCGGCGAGTCAGTTACTTGGGCAAAGCTTGAGTAAGCGCGAGAAGACACGTGAGAGGTAAATCGAACGCTGTCGCGCTTGCACGAGTAAGCGTGGGGGAAGTAATCGAACGCACTCAAATTAAGCAAAGCTTACCTGAATAACCCTTAAGTAGCGAAAAATGGTAAAATATCTGTACAATAAAAGCATGTTTATAGATTACTAAAGTTCTCTGATTTCTTACTTAAGTACATTAATTCTTATAAGAACACTTGAATATGAGTAACTGGAATTTATACTGTACAAAAGAAAAAAAGAAAGGAAAACAGAAATGAGATGAAAACCGCATACCCTGTCTTTCTTAATGCTTTAGCCAAAAAAAATAAATTGTTCTGCAAACACACCAAAACCAAATGGATTTCAAATATACAATTTTTAACCTGTCAGAAATTGTTGCAGACATAAAGTCCATCATTGGTCACTAAACAGTCTTTCTTGTATTAAAAAAAGTCAGAAAAACCATACATCTGAGTCGTTACTCAATAACAATTGTTCAATTATTAAACGCAAAGCAGGATTGGCTGATTCTTTCAAGCACTTTCTTTTTCATTTTACAAAATTCGTCCAAAATTTCTCAAAAAAATACAAAAATTACAACTCATGTGCCTACATGACTTATCATGTACCGCTTTTTATGCAAATATAACAATGTTCATTAATTTTCTTTTAAGGCTTTCGTATAAATTCACGGATCATTCAGTTCATCAGCCATGATCCTCATTTCCGCAAGGCAAGAATTTTGAGACAGTTTCCCAATTAAAAGCGACTGATCAAATAAGTAATCACTCTTTTCATATCACAAAAAAGAAGTAATTATCACACATTAAATGGAATGAATACAGAATTCTGAATGAATAATTACAAAAAATGTCTGATTAAACTCTATATTTACACTTTTTACTCCCTAATTTCTGAACTTCATATTTAGAAAACTCATTCAACTGAAGAATGGTGAGATCATCTTGTAACAACATTTTGATAAAATTTACCAAAAAAAAAGAAAACCAAACGACACAAACCTAACCTTTTGTTTACCTTGTGTGTGTTCCATCTACCATTTATCTTTCCTTTTTTTTGGGGGGGGGGGTTGATAAAAACGGCTCTACAAAAAAATTATTAAATTCATATGCAGCAATAGTTAAATTTTCATTAGCAAGTTTATTATTTCATTTTTTAGGACGGACATCTCAAAAATATATAATGTTCATGCAACTCCAACATTGTCCAAAATTCGGACCCAAAATTCGGACCCAAGCGTCTCTTACTGCGGGGTGCAGGACTTGAACCCACAACACCTGGGTTCCCAGTCGGAACTACTAACCAGTGCACTACTTGGGTCCCCCCACTACAATTTCCTTTTTTATTAACTTAACTCTTAGGTTCCCTAAATAAATTTCAATTAAAAAGGTTCTGCATGGGATTGAACCCACAACCATCCAATTGTGAGACACAGTGCTTCCACACTAAGCCACACACAACTCTGAAAGTCTCTTACAAATTGTAATATTTCAACTTCCTGTTATTTTTTTGAAAAAAAAAAATCAACCTTCCAGATTGCTCTTTTTTTTTTTGGACAAACAAAAAAGGCAAACAATCGTTGTTTTTTTTTGAGGTACAAATCAAATTGTTTTGATCCAAACATATAATGCATTTGAACTTAACAGATCATGTTTTTCAGCTAGCTAGGGTTCAATTCCACACATCTCGAGAGAAGACGCAATAACAAAAACGAGTTACACTCGAAGAGTTTATTTCCAAAATGCGATATTTCAATCCATTCTTTTTTAAAGGGAGACATTTGCATGGTTATGAAACTTGTAAAAACAAACTTCTAAACTTCATTTTTGGCTTTACTCTCTTCTTTAAATTGGGTTTAGCTACATAACACCCATCGAAACTGACCTGGAGCAGCCAGGAGGATTTTACCTGGTGTTTATCGCTTTTTGGAAATCTCTTCAATTGTTATTGAAATTACTGATGACTGATTTGTTTTATTGAAATAATTATGACCGACAGAACAATTCATACACAAGAGAAAAGTAAATAATAACAGGAATAATTTGTATAGAAAACCACTGCCTTGCGATGTCATGGATAGTTAGAAAGGCAGTTTCAATAATGTTACATAGTACAGACTTCATACATTGTTAATATGTACTCTGAAATTATTCTACAGTACTATTTACAACTATTATACAAATGTGCATAAACACAGCATTGGTAGTTTGTTTTAACAGATAATTTCAATAAAATCATTTGACAAACTTTCATGTGTAGCTATGGTTGGTCATTTTTTGGTCCATAAAATATTAATCCTCCAAAACAGTGTAAGATTTCAACTGAAAAGTGTCCCATTCATTATTGCTAATTTCCTGTTAACGTTTAAAGGCACATTTTTGCTTGTTTCGCTGAACAAAAACAATATAATGTACATTATTGTTGATTCCTCTGACAAATGCACTTAGTTTCTAACATTAAAGTGTTTTTCAACCAACCTAAAAACATGGACTTTAGTTTTTCATCAAAAATCAAAAATGATTTCAGTGTTATCCCAATTATAGTTTTCTTCTCTACACATTTCCCTTCGCATCTCGGAAATAAATTTATCTTTTTTTCGTTCAAACCATGAAACCACAGATACTCTATAGTTACTTATAAAACTAGAGACTTATGAAATAAATAATTTTGGAATCTGTTGAAGTCTGTGGTGTTGCATAACCATCAGAATGCACATCGATCAGCCTCATTTCAACAATATGGACGACTGTATGTTACACAATGAGTGCGTTTGATTACTTCCCCCAGCTTACTCATGCCTGGCTCCTTGCGTGATGACAGACATGCGCAGTGGAGCTAAAGTTTTGTGCAAGGAGCTGGAAAGTTGAACTTTGACATGACACTGAGGCTGCATCTGAATCAACTGTCTGGAGCTACAATGTAGGTCTAGCTCTGCGCCCACTGAAAATAGCAGCGGGGACGCACTGACAATAGACGTAGCCGTGGCTCTGGAAGCCTGTTTCGGACACGGCCTGAGGCGCCCGCCGGACGTCACGTTGGCAGCCATGTTTATGTATGGCCTTATGGGATACTTACCCAAGTAACCGGCTCGGTGAGTCGGTTACTTGGGCCAGGCTTGAGTAAGCGCGAGAAGTCACATGAGAGGTAAATCGAACGCTGTCGCGCTTGCACGAGTAAGCGTGGGGGAAGTAATCGAACGCATTTAAATTAAGCAAAGCTTACCTGAATAACCCTTAAGTAGCGAAAAATGGTAAAATATCTGTACAATAAAAGCACGTTTATAGATTACTAAAGTTCTCTGATTTCTTACTTAAGTACATTAATTCTTATAAGAACACTTGAATATGAGTAACTGGAATTTATATTGTACAAAAGAAAAAAAGAAAGGAAAACAGAAATGAGATGAAAACCGCATACCCTGTCTTTCTTAATGCTTTAGCCAAAAAAATAAATTGTTCTGCAAACACACCAAAGCCGAACGGATTTCAAATATACAATTTTTAACCTGTCAGAAATTCTTGCAGACATAAAGTCCATCATTGCTCACTAAACAGTCTTTCTTGTAGTAAAAAAATTCAGAAAAACCATACATCTGAGTCGTTACTCAATAACAATTGTTCAATTATTAAACGCAAAGCAGGAATGGCTGATTCTTTCAAGCACTTTCTTTTTTCATTTTATAAAATTTGTCCAAAATTTCTCCAAAAAAATACAAAAATTTCAACTCATGTATTTAGAATTATCACGTACCGCTTTTTATGCTAATATAACAATTTTCAGTCATTTTTTTTAAGGCTTTCATATAAATTAAAGGATCATTCAGTTCATCAGCCATGATCCTCATTTTTGCAAGGCAAGAATTTTGAGACAGTTTCCCAATTAAAAGCGACTGATCAAATAAGTAATCAATCTTTTCATATCACAAAAAAAGAAGTAATTATCACACATTAAACGGAATGAATACAGAATTCTGAATGAATAATTACAAAACAAGTCTGATTAAACTCTATATTTACACTTTTTACTCCCTTAAATTCTGAACTTCAGATTTAGAAAACTCATTCAACTGAAGAATGGTGAGATCATCTTGTAACAACATTTTGATAAAATTTACCAAAAAAGAAAAAAAAAAAATGGACGCAAACCTAACCTTTTGTTTACCTTGTGTGTGTTCCATTTACTATTGATCTTTCTTTCTTTTTTTTTCTTTCTTTTTATAGATAAAACGGCTCTACAAAAAAAAATATTAACTTCATATGCAGCAATAGTTTAATTTTTCATTAGCAAGTTTATTATTTCATTTTTTAGGACGGACATCTCAAAAATACATAATTTTCATGCAACTTCAACATTGTCCAAAATTGTTGGGTCCACTATTTCAACATTTTGATGGCAAAATTTTATATATCATTAAAGATCTCATAAAATGAGCAAAACTATATTTCGCTAAAACGTCTGCAAGGTGTTCTTAATTTCTGAAGGTTTATTTTTTAATCATGCGTTAAATATTTATATGTAGTCTTTTGGTTGAATGCAAAAAAAAAATTGATCTTTATGCAAGTACTGAAAATGTCCATTAAAAAAAAAACACTACAATTAATTATATCCAATATGGCTGGGTAAAAGTAAATTCATGGAAATCCATCTTGAAATAAATATAAGGACGGGTACTGAAAAAAAATAAGTCTCTGCTAAATCTACGAGTATGATAAATTAAGTATCTTGTGCCGCAGTGAGCAAATAATGCTTTCAATACAAAAAAAAATCTCCAATCTGAGAATTCTTACAGCATATCAAAATAAATACAGCTTCCTTTACAACTTCCAGGAAATGAATTGTTTTTCTTTTAGACCAATCAGAATCTAGAATAGTCTGGAGGTATTAGAAAAATGGAAGATTGACCAATTAACACCTTGAGACACTCACCGAAACTTCCTCCTTTCTGAGACATCCAAACTCTCTAAACGAAACCAAGCTTTGTGTGAGCAGTCTTCACATAGGAATGATTCTCCCCACCTTGTTTTTTCTGTCACGGACTCATTCCCTGCATTGTTCAATATCACCTTCAAGATTTTTCGTAACAACATCTCTGAGAAGAATACTTGGCGTATCAGACGAGAGTCTTGAGCAGTTCAATGGCCGCCTTGTAGCAGAACAGATACTGGTCCTGTGATGAAGAAAATAAAGAAAATATGGATGACAGCCTAAATACAAGTCCGATTTAAAGTCCGTTACCACATTACCATTATCCAAAATCAAACCACCTCTGTTATGAACAAAAATCACTGCTATACTGTAACGCGTGCAGGGTCTGTGTGTGAGTGTGTTCTGGAGTTGTTTACAGATTGATCTCATGTAAAGCTGCCTCCCTTTGAAGCAAAAAAGATGAAGCCTCAGTTTTGTGATTGGTGTCAAAAAATGTAATGGTATTCAGCATCACAATTATACAATTCTGAAGTTGAGTCCTTTTCCGAAAAAGAAGTTGGAAACAAGCCTAAGCACCATGGCCTTTTGATGAAGTACTTTGAGCTGGAATATATGTGGTTAGACACACAGTCTCATAGAGTTAAAAAAAAATACACCAGGGATGTAAAGTGGACTCTGACTTTTTTGCCAGAAAATTTGAGGTACAAAGGAAAAATATACAGACATGTACGGTACCAATATGTTATTTTGAATTCGAAGAAAGCCTAAAATCAGGCAAGTGCAGAAGGACTTATATCCCTAATGTGCAAAGGTATTTACAAAAGGACTCAGACACAGGCTTAACTTGTTTTGCAAATTGTTTAGACATTTTCAGCATACTTTTTTCCCCAACAGCTAAACTTTCTTTCACAATTTTTTTTTCTATAATCAGATACCCAGTCTAGTTTCTCAAACCTGATCTGTACTATGTGATGTTATATTTCTAAACTGATTGTACTCTGAAAAGTATGTGACCCTCATGGAACTGCATGAATCTACTAAGACCTTAAAGTAAACTGTATAAAAAAATTCAGTCTCAAATGGTTGCCATTTCCCCCCCCCCCCCACAAAAAAAATCTTTAGATACTGGATAAGGAAAACTCAAGCCACTAACCTTGGTCTGGATCATGCCCTGGCGTTGGGTCCTCAGATCCCTGACGATATTGACAATCTTGAACGGCTCGTCCCGATCGATCAACGCCATGAGGGTATCGATGGTGATCAGCGTTCCGGTCCGGCCGATTCCCGCGCTGCAGTGGACGATGATTGGCCCGTTGGCGTGAATCTTGCGCATGTACTTGGTGTAGCGCAGTAAGGGGAGGGCTGAGGAGGGCACGCCATGGTCTGTCCAGGTGGTGAAGTTGAGATGGGTGACGTAGTGGATGGTGTTGGTCTAGGGAATTAGAGAAAAGTAAGGACACAAACCAAAAAAATTGTGAGTAAGATTTGAGGCTTTGCACGGTGGAGATACTAAATAATGAAATGAAAGGTTTGCGGAAACACCATGTGCGAATAATTTCTCAACTAAGAGAAAGGTTCTGAAAAGAACCAGAGGTATAAACTCGACGTTCCAGGAATTGTGAACAGGTAGCACAGGTAGCATATGAACAGTTTTTAAGCACGAAATATGGTTGGTGTCAGTTTCATCACCAAATCCAAGTTGGCTCCTTTTGATGTCATTCGCAAACCTATTTCCAGTCCATTTTTCATGTCAAAATGCAAAAATGAAAGTTAAGAGATATTTATGACATCAACAATTGTGGTTTCATTGAGTTGTTCACCATTCCAAAATTTAATTACTTTACTTTGCGTAAAGTATGAATTAGGTTACATGCTGCACACAGAAACGTGTTTTTTTTTTATCAACATCTGGAAAATAACCAAAAAAATTTACTATGATGTACTGGTATTCACCCTGTGACTGACTCGACTAATTTTTACATAAAAAAGATGAATGGTAAGAATTCTGCCTCCTGTCCAATACCTTCATATCACTCATGGATATTTTGCGGATGTCAAAGTGGTCCAGCGTCTGCATGCTGTCCAGTCTCAGCTGATAGCGGCCGGCCACTGTGATGGGCGTCTCCATGGAATCGGGCCAGTAGCGGTCACACTTTACCTGCATCAAAATGAGCAAAGAAACATGTGATGCAATCAAGCTAGTTTGTTGACCCTGGTCAATTTTTTTTTTTACAGATTTGAAAAGAGCACAATCTCAGCATTACTGATGGGAAAACAGCATGCTGATGCCGTCTTTAGTTCAAAAATTATGGAAGTCGGAACACCAAGAGATGTGATGAAGTGATGTGATAAAGTGGCCCTATTTTGGCCTGAATCTCCAAATGGAAGTTCCCTTTTTCCCCGTGTTATGCATTATGTCCTTCTGCTTTAAATAGTTCAGACAGTGAATAAAATGCTTGTATTGATACTAAAGGTAAACGTGGCAAGGTTTGTCAAAACCAGGCTACGAATGGAAGAATGCCCAAGAGACGTGTCAGTCAATTTGTACCAAGTTTGAGATTTTGAGGAATTCATGATTCCAATTGTCTCGTTTTTCATCCCAAAGTTCTGAAATGTATTGCAGACTTAAATGAAGTGTATTTTCAGACCATAGTTTTTCTGTCATTTAACTTCAATCTTTATATTGCAATTTCTAAATTTTTGGCTTCGAACTGCAAATTTCTTAGAAGTGGCTATGGAAATGTTGTTGTTTTAATAAATATATTTGTTAGCAAATTGCAAGGTGTCTATGTTAATGGAATTGTTATAACTCAGATTTGATCTGTAACCAAAATTCAATGTATCTGGTTCGTACATTTCCTGCCACAAGTTAGATTTACTTACACTTTTAAACAATTTCATAATAAGAGTATTAAGAATCTTTCCAAATTGTGTTTGTTGAAAATATACTATCATGGCTACAGCAAAATAAATACCATAATAGCAATGCACATTGTGGCAAAAATCTTCAGTTTGAAATCTGACCTTGCCACTCTCAACAGCCAGCGTCACCATGGCGACGACATCCGACCTCTGCTCCCAGACCATCTGCCAGAAGTCGCCGGTAGTCTGCGGCAGTGGTCCCTGGCAGGCAATGTAGCGGTGGGTGTCCTTACCCACCAGGACGTCAATGTGACTGGCGTTGATGTAGTTGCTTCGGCCGGCCTGCTCAATCACAACTCTGGTCTCGTCGTCTGAAACAAAAACCAATCGAAACGAGGAGCATTTAGCAACACAGTGTCCAACTGAAATCATTTGCTTTTCATGCATTTTGTTTATTACCAATAATAAAAAACCACTGCAAATCTAAAGAAGAATGTTCAAAACCTAACCTGTTGAAGTTTCAGATCAGTGGATATTACTTTTTTTGGAGGAAACAGTGGAAAATCATGCACAACCTTTCAATCACAGCACTCTGTATTTCCAACAATCAGTCAATTGACTGATCGTTGAGAATCACCTACATTTCTTGATTTCTTCTAAATGACAGCAAGCCAGACGGAATAATGTCACAGGGTGTTTAGTACCAGTACGATCTTTAATCCAAGTAAGCTGTTTGATAATAATTCGGTAGGTTGCTTTTGGGATAAACGCAAATGATCCTTACAGGCTTACGTAATAGAAGGCACATTTCGACTTAAGGGCCACCTCAAAAAATCTTACTTCAAATAAAAAACCACAACTTACATGGAAGTACATTGCGGTATCTGTTCTTGTCTTTGTTGACGGCTTTCTTGGCTTCCTCACAGTTGTCTGTTAGTTTGACGTTACGCAGCACCTACATTTTCACGAAACAGTTGATAACATTTGTAAAAATGGACACAGAATATGGCCTGCATTAAGACGTTTTATGCCGCCTTGGGTGTTACACGTTCACTATCGTGCACAACATATGGCTGGAGACATTCAACCAACATGCCAGGATTGAGAGAACTCTAGTCTATGACTTTAACTCCAGTTTGATTTTAGTCACATTTTCTGTGAGTTGGACAGTGCTCAATTAACAATAGCTCAAATTGTGCTGCTTGTCTGCTGAAAAAAAGGTAAAATAGAAGTTCTTACATTCTTATTTAATTGGCTCTACATCAACAACATGAGCTAAAGTAAAGATTTGTTGCCCATTTGAAAGTTTACCAGCAAAAGAAATTCATGAAATTTATGTCAAAATTTAAAGAAAAAAAAAATTGTTCTCTGATCCATTTTTTCCTTCTGAGCTGACCTTGAATTCCTCAACAGGATCCTGCTTGTCTATCTGCTTCTGCAGCGCCGCGATGGCGTTGCGCAGCGACCTGCCCGAATAGCGCCCTCCCGGGGCCGGTCTGGCCAGCGTCATGCGACGCAGCTCGGCATCGCTGATCACGCTCAGGATCTTGTGGCTGGGCGTGGCCCGAGTGGAAGGGGTGTGGCCTCGGCCGGATGAGAGGGGGATGTCGGCGTCGGAGCCCCAGGAGCTAGAATCGTCGTCGCTTTCGGGGAGCATCTGGCCACGAGCCTGGGGGGAGAAGTGAGAAGAAATTTTTTGTTTATATTTCGACTTTAATACTGTTTAGAAAACAAGTCAGTTTTCAAACCCACAAACTTATTTTCAAGACGCAGTTAACATTTCCATAAAAATCATAAGTAAAAGGCAAAGGAAAAGTCCCAAATGCCCCAACAATTTGCATTGGAATAGATGATCAATTTTTACACTATGAAATGTAATGTGATCTGTGAAAACCCTTTTCACTGTCAAAGTTCAGATTTTAAATAAATGACCATTACATTTAATTCTTCTGCTTTAGATTCATAAAAACAATCTTTATCTACTTATAATGTTTGATGTGGTTGCTGTCGGAAAAAAAGTAAAAAGGAACTCTAGAAAGTACTCATTGTGAAGGCTTTTCTCAGTTCGCATCACGAGTCCATGGATGTGATTTCTCTTTTCAAAATGGAGTCAATAACACAATAGCATAATAGATTTTCAGACCAGAAGATTGTCTGATACGTGTAATTTTCATGATGACTGCAAACTGAAAACGTCAAATTCGGTTGAGCATTCACTTGCCTACATCAGAAAGGACATATTACAGTCAATCTAAAACAAACATCTGTTTTCCTCTTTGAGCAATATTTGCAGTCACATGGTCTCCCTTGCCATATTTTTATCGACTCCCTATCCCAGTCATATTTTTTTCCCAACTTCATTCAAGAAATCTTGATCCCACCTTCAAGGCTTGTCCAAACTTCAAGGCCGGTAGTCGGCTGTCGCTGGCAGACGGCGAGCTTCTCTGCGTGTCTGGGCGTGCTGCCCTCGAGTCATCAGGAAGATCCATGGTGTAGTCCATATCGTCGTCCGTGTCGTGACCTTTGGGGTCAAAGGTCAGGTGGAAAATGTACTATTATTCCTGGACTGTGAATGGTCCTTTGATATACACATTGTTTTCCAGTTCAATAGAAAGAAGATCAGATCAAATGAAAGGAATGAAATTCTCTGACACTATTTTGATATTTTCTGATTTACCATTTGCTACAGTTTACACGTAACCTCACAGTCCAAACCAATAATGCAAGCAACTTAATTTCTGACTAGTTGAGCACAACACTTGTTTATGTATGTATTACAAAATCTGATTCTGAAACAAAAACTCAAGCGCATGAAATACAAACTTACATTAAAACTGCATTTCAAAGAAAAACATGAATGAGCTCTTCAACAAATTCAAACATGACAAATATATGACCACATGAAGAATAAGACCTGACTTTTTCACATCAAACAAAAAGGAAAACAATCCTTTTTTTTTTGGAAAACCATTTCACAACTCATTCAAAACAATGGACTTTCAGCTTTCATGACATGTTTTTGTTTCATGACTGCTGCACGTGAGAAACATAAATGATCAAAACTATTTCCACAGATGTGTCAGCATTTTAAAAATAGCTTAGTTTGTGTATTACCCATTTTTTTTTATGAAACAGTATTTCTGCTTTCAGTTTGTGTCCCTGCCAACTCAGCATTCTATTTTGACAAAAACTTGACACTTTTTCCTCAACTGAAAACATTTTTTTTTCAAAAGCACGACAAGAAACAACGTGGCCCAGTTAAGGGAAATGCTAGACTGGACGATCTGTTTTTAGGATTTTAGGGTTGTAGTCCTTGCAAGTCCATCACAAGTCTGTCACTAGTCCGTCACAAATACTTGAGTCTTAAGCAAAAAGCTCTTCAAATAATCAGTGACAAAAAAACTGTTTTTGTTAAAAGGCACGAAGGATCATTTGCATCTATCCCAAACGTAACCTACCAAATTATTATCAAACCTAGATAAAAGAACGTAATGGTACTAAACACGCCGGGAGATTATTTCGTCTGGCTTGCTGTCATTTTGAAAAAAATCAAGAAATGTAGGTGATTTCCAACGATCTGCAAATTGACTGACTTTTGGAATAAAGAGTGCTATTGACAAAAAAACTTGTGTTTCATGATCAAAAGCTTGTGCATGGATTTTCACTGTTTTCTCTCAAAGTGTTTTTTTTCTCTTAAAGTGTAGTATCCACTGAGTTGAAGCTTCAACAGATTATTCTTATTTTAGATTTTGAGTGGTGCCATTACCGGAAACGTACAAAATGCATGAAATACAAATGATCGTATATATGCCCTTCACGTTCCTATGTTTGTGATTGGACTTGTGTAAGGACTTGTGCTTTTCTTTGGACTTGACCACAACACTGTCAGTTTTGCTCTTGAGGTACCAGTAGGCAACATTTTCTTGGCCAGATTTATTAGAAATTGTCGGTTGGTCGGTTGGGGTTGGCGGAGTTGGATTTACCTGAGACATAGCCGGCTCGGAACCCCGGGGGAGGTGGGGTGAAAGCCATGGAGGACACACCACCCAGGGGCAAGGAGTGAGAGTCAAAGTTGAGACTTGTGCTTATGTCAAACTCGGACAGATCTGCATGCATACCAATGAAGGAGTGCCACCCGATGTGTGAGGGGAAGGGTGGATATGGGGTGAGGGTGGAGTGTGACAATGGGTGTGATGATGGGGGAGGGGGTAGTTGGAAGGTTAAGGCGGTGGGGTAGTTGGAGGCGGTGGGGTAGTTGGAGGGGGTGGGGTAGTTGGAGGGGGTGGGGTAGTTGGAGGGGGTGGGGTAGTTGGAGGGGGTGGGGTAGTTGGAGGGGATGGGGTAGTTGGAGGGGGTGGGGTAGTTGGAGGGGGTGGGGTAGTTGGAGGGGGTGGGGTAGTTGGAGGGGGTGGAGTAGTTGGAGGGGGTGGGGAAGTTGGAGGGGGTGGGGTAGTTGGAGGGGTGGGGTAGTTGGAGGGGGTGGGGTAGTTGAAGGGGGTGGGGTAGTTGGAAGGGGTGGGGAGTAATCATGTGGCAATGAATTTCAAAATGATACAGTGATGCAGGTACAGAAGCAAAAATAAATGAACAGAAATTGAGACATGACACGGAGCAGATCAGCAGAGTTGAGACAATAAGAGACAGACACGTAGGTACACAAAGGGTGACGGACACAGTGGTAGATACAGGGCAAGACACAGACAATGACAAACCAGTAACACAGAAAAGGAAAGTCAAAGAGGGAATGAGGTACATGTAAATAGAAAAGAAAAGGTTGTTTTACAAAGTTGAAGCAAATAGATGAGAATGAAAGCATGGATATGAAAAATGTTAAAACCAGGTGAAATGAAGGAGAAAACAAAACACAAGGAAAACATCTGTGAAGTTAACCACTCAAGCAAATAAATCATGTGAAATTTACAAAAGTAGAAGCCAAAAGACAATGGGGTTTAATAAAGTTCAAATTAAATTCACAAACAACAAATCAAATAGCCATCAACCTTTCAATGGAAAAACAAAGTCAAAAATTGATCCCAAAAATGTGAAATGTGCAATGAAATTAACATTTTTAACAAACGTGAATTACTGTGATTTGTGATTTGTTAGAGAAATTAAAATTGCACACATGACATTTATCCAAATAAAAACAACCATGTTATTAAAATAAATAGTTCAAACAATGTGCACTATGTGAATACCCAAAACGCAAGTGCAAGATTATAATGTGCAAAAATATATCACAAAATATATGTTTATAAATATCACAAATCATTTGGAGGCGCAATGACACAATAAACTGCCGGCTCAATGTAATAACAAATAAAACCAATGAAGCAACAACAACGTGGAATTTATTTTGGGGGATTGACAGTTTTCAGGTTGACACCAAAGTGGAAAGGAGAACCTTCTTAAATCAAGTACTATTGAAAATACAGTTATGCAACTGGAAATTTAGGGGAAAAACGAGGACATTCAAAACCACACAAGACTTTGTTTAGCTTTTTTCAATTTGTAATGGCATTCATGAGAAGTAAAAAAAAAAGGAGGAAATCAGTGGATCCGAGGAAAAGTTGCATGACCAAAAAATAATTATTTGTCTATCTTCCTGATTCCCACAAAATCTTCAACAATCTGAAAATCTGTCAGAAGTGGCAGATTTTGAAAGGAGAGTTCGGCTAAAAGAAATAATGTGATGTTTGCAAACGGAACCAGATGGAAAATCCGGGGGAACTTTGGTCTGAACTCAAGACACCTACCTGCATCCTCTAGCTCAGCGTCCCTGGCCGACTCGGTGTAAGACTGGGCCTGCGAGTCAGCTCCTTCATTGGCTTCGTTGTCGTCATCGTCCTCGCTGTGGCGGGGAAGGTTGAGGGCAGGCACGGGGGACTCACGGACAGGCAGGATGGGGAGACGCTTGGGCTGGATGGGGGTTGAGTTACTACTGGATTTGGTCAGTTGCCTGGATTGTATAAAAAAAATCGAAACAAATTTAAAAACAATTACACAATCAGTGCCCATTGACAACCAATTGGGTACAATTCCATCCTTAAAAAAATGGGACTTATATAATAGCTTATGTTTTGAGGACCTAAGATTTTTAAAACAAAATTGAATGTTTGAAAGTGGATGAAAAAATCACTGAATTATTAGAAATGTTGGGAACTTGGAAAATCAGATAATATTTAAGGGTGTACAGAAAATGGGAGCTTGTGACTAACATTTCTTTTTCTTGGGAGGAGAGGGAGGGGGAGGGGGAGGGTAAGAAATAGATTTGTTTGGATCGTTGGACGGAACATAAAGCTAAAGGCTGCATTTAGTGGATAATTGGACATTCAGAGAACCCAGGCAACATGTGACGATATTTGGATACGGAATATGCACACTACAAAAAGATGATGATTATAGTACCTTGTAACGGCTAATCTGACGACCCCTTTGCTCTTCCTCAGAATTCCGACCGCTTTGTTCTGCGTCATGCCAACGAGGCTTTCTCCATTCACCTAAACAGTACAAACCACAACAAAGAAAATTAAAAATAAATATGAATGTATGAGCCACAGACAAATACTATACTATACATTATTAAAAAAAAAATCAAATATAACTTGGAAATGGCTTGATGGCCCTGTCTTGAGACAAATTTGATATGATCGATTTGACGCGGGGAGAAAAATGCCTAAATATACTGACCTGTAGAAGCCGATCGCCAACTCGCAGTCTACTGTCGCTCTCGGCCACGCCCCCTGGCGTGACTGTCTTGATGAAGATACTGGTCTTCCCGCCCTTCATGGCTCCGGTCAAACTAAACCCTAGGCTCCCATTGGCCGGTTTCTCCAGATCTATCCAGATCACTCCGCCCTATTGGACAAAAGCGGCATGTATATTCATGAAGTGTTTGCAGGTTTTAGTTTTGCTTTTCCCCCCAATGACTGAGTGGACAACTGAAAAACAACAAAATTGGAGGTCCATAATAATTCTACAGCCAAAACAGAGACAAAGCCAGAGTATCGAAAGCCCTCTCAATGCTTATCTGTAATCTTGTTGCTAGGCTGCATACTGCCCTCACTTATAATGCACAGACAGGATGAAAAACTAACCTCTGACTTTTCAGGATGACCCTCCGACTCGTGGTCTGTCTCTCCGACGGTCGACGCCTTCTCGATGATTCCCACGCTGGCCCTGTCCACGGTGGGTGCCTCGCTAGGGGTGGGGGAGTCCACCTCCGAGGGTGGGGCAGCCATGGCGACCCCTGACCCCCCGAAGGTGATGGGTGATTCCACTTCGGCAGGAGGGGGTGAGAAGGGAGGGCTTGAGGGGACGTCCGGTTGGTGGTTGGTATCGGGGAGAGTGGTTGGGGGAGGGGAAGCAGGTGGGGTGGGGGTGGGGGAAGGGGTGGCAGGCGGGGTGGGGGTGAGGTAAGGGGTGGGGATGGGGCTACTGTACGTAGGGGAGGGGGTCCGTGGGGGTTCATGTTCATCGGCTTCGTCTTTTTCAAACTGACGGAGTAAGAATTAACGGTATCATTAAAGTGCATGAAAGCATCAATTTATGGTTTAACTGATCCAACTGCGTGTTTGAAATGAATGAACTGAAGAATGCTTGTTTGTTTTTTCTTTGATGTTTCCTTCGCAAAAAAAATAAGAAAAAAATGTACTCTTGGTTGCATTCAAAATGATCAACATTCAAAGAGCAATGGTCTTTCGATGGTCACATTGGGGAGAAATTGCATCTGAAGTGCCTTAACTTAACAGTCATTGCAATTTCACCATTAGAGATTTACTGTGCTTGCAAAGCCCATAAGATCTGCACTCACGCTTTTGACAAAGGAAAGTTGGTGCAACAATGCTTTGAATGTGTTATGCACAGGTAGAGTACCAACCAAACTCAGGGTGTTTTTCAAACCTTGGTCTTGTTCGCCAGCTGTGGCTCCAGGAGTCTCAAAGACCCTTATTGTAGGTAATGTAGCTCAAAATTGGTCCATGTTTTGGTTCAGGAACATCATATCAGGCTGAATTATAAGGCCAAAGTTTCAAGTATTTCATTTAGTTTAGATATTGATGGCTTTTAGGTGATTCTTAAAGACCGAGATGAAGCCACATCTGTTAAAGTAACCATGTTTTGGAAAATGCCCGAGTCTTGGGGTGTGTTTCTCTTAAATACTCACCTCCAGAAGGTACTTTCTCGGGGACTGTTCGACAGACTTGGCTGTGATCTGAATAATGGGGACATCTGCTGGACGAGGCCTGTTCTCCTTGATCTCATCTGGCAAGGTGATGTTGTGCTCTGCTTCCAGCGAGGCCAAGATGGCGTCAACGTCGTCCAGATTATCTTTTTCACTTTCTGAAACATCCTGTAATATTAACCCACAAATAGGTGATACCAAATTGGTGAACTTGTTTTTTTTTTCAGCTACCGTTTGGCATGGATTCGTCCATGTTTTCCGAGTCCACTCAAGTGTCCATTTACAACTTTGACAGGTCAAAATATTCGGACAAAACTGAAAGGACCCAAAATAACAGACCATTTAAAAGTTTGGCTCCCTACCTCCCAGTCCGTTTCCTCCATCTTCTCCGAGGACAAGTCTCCGAGATCCAAGTCCAACGAATCCATCACTCCCTTCATCTCCTCCTCCACCGATATCTCCCCCTGACTGTCCTCATGAAGGAGAGGCTTGTCCTGCCTCGGGTTGCCGGGCAGGAGGATCTTGGGGACATCCTTGGTGGAGTTTATCGGGCTGCGGGGCGTGGGGAGCCGTCTGCATGGGTGCACTGGCTGGCCGTTCCTGTAATCACGATCCAGGTCAACAATTGTTAATTTTGTCCATACATCAATCTGCAGTTGCGTTTTTTCCCAACTATTTTTGAAAAGTGTAACAAAGACATTGACTGGAGTGGGGTTTGAACCTGCGACTTCCTGACTACCGTTCCAGTGCTCTACCAACTGAGCTTTTCCAGCCCTATCTTGGCGGTTCCCCAATTTGTCAATGTCTTTGTTCAAGGGGCGCTTCTTTTAACTACAGTGAAGTCTTGATAAGTCAAACCTCAAGGGAACTGGTTCAAAATTTGACTTAAGCAGAGTTTTGAGTTAAGCAGGGTTGTATATCAATGTTATACTACTGAAGGCAATGGATTCTTTGACTTAACAGCTGTTTTGAGTTATCAGAGTTTGACTTATCAAGATTTCACTATAGTGTACTTTCTTCGCTTCTATGATTGCATAGAGCCAAACCTTTGCTCTTCAGAATACTTTCAAGAAAGGTGCATTCTAATATGGACACCGAGTTGTTATGCGCATTGTTTGATATATTGTTTACTGTGATAACTCTTATCGCTTTAGCAAAGCCACCATTACCCTGCTGTAACAAATTTCAACAGTTGAATTAACTCCAATGCTTTTTTTGGACAAAAGTGCGTAAGAGGTATCCAGTTGTCCATGCCCCCAATTTATGATATGGAGTGCCATTTGTTGATATGATAAAAAAGCTTGCAGTCAGACAAATGGGACTTCATAAGGGATAATGCACAGAGATGAAACTGGCATATGGCCAAAAAATCGGAAAATATGCCGCAGAAAAATACGTGTCCGAAATCCGGGCCGCGCTGCATTACACACATGCATGTACAATACACTTCATGCCCAATTTACAGACACCTTTTCCTGCTATATTTTCGATTCAAGCAAAATTTTACGATGAAAAACATGGTCTGTGTTTTCATTGCATAAAATGCCCAAATTACAGTTAGAGTAATGGAGTCATCAATAAAGAATTTCACTTCTTACTTGAGACCAAAGTCTAGGGAAAAGTCCGAAAGACAAGGGCACCGTCCATGGTGCTTCATGTCCATTCAACCACACACCACCACTAGTCCTACTCCACTTGCATTCATACGTGGGGAAAAATCAGGCATTGTCGTCTTTCTCTTCTAACAAATGGCAAATGCCAGTGAAATGTTTCGCTAATGCTCTCTTCGCTATCCGAGATAATCATCACGATTTTTAAAGCATTGCATTTTGTGTAACTATATTTGAAACCTCCGAAAATCGCACAACACAATGATTTTATCCACAAGGCTACCCGTTCCCGACCGGCCATGTGCTAGCGGACGGCACGGTGCGGTACGTACGCTGGTACCATTGCATATTCGCACGCACGTGCGACACAGTGATTTTTCCATGTCGCCTGTCAATGTTTAACCTTTTGTCCAGCCGGAGAAGGCTCCAATCAGTGTTATGGCCTGTGTTTCTACCGTTGAAACACTTCAATAACGACTGGTGAAAGAGATTAAAACTACGTTCGCGATGATTTTAACGTGCCAGTTCCATCAACTTTTCATCGACTTTTCTTCGAAATTATGATTGAAGTAAAATGACATTTTGTGAGAAAAATCCATACAAAATCAAATTTTGTGGGACACACTGTATAAAAATCGGAAATTTCGTTGGAAAATTCAAAAAGTCGGTTTTCCGATTAAAATCGGAAAAGTTTCATCTCTGAATGCATAACTTCGGAGCTCCACAAATTTAAGAAAAATCACTGAAGAATCACAGAACTGACCTGGTTAATTTGAGCTCCACTGTATTGGGAGCGGTCTCCAGCAGACGCCTGGCAGCCATCAAGCTCATTCCAACCAAGCTCTTCCCGCTGATGGCGTGGATGAAATCCCCGATCTGTATGCTGCCCTCGCTTGCCGCCGGCAGGCCAGGTATGACGTCGCTCACCACGATCCCAGACCGGCTGCCCTTCAGGTCAAGGGTCAGGGACAGGCCGAGTTGTCCGGCCGAGTTGCGTTGGACCCTGACGATGGGGAGCTGGTCCACGTTGACGACGGTCGTGACGTCGGACCGCGACGAGCTGGAAGGGCTCTGGGGGGCTTCGTACGCGGGTCTGTCAGAGTGCAAGGTAGGGGAGGCAGGGGGTGGGGACGTTGGGACAGGAGGGGGTGCTGGGGTTGGGGTCTCCGTGGGACGTTCCCTGAGGCGTAGGACCTTGATGGTGACCTCCTGGGGGGTCATGCGCAGGAAGGAGACAGCGTCGAAGTGGCTCATGGCTAGCATGTCATGGTCGTTGACCTGCAAAGTGCAACAGAGAAAGCAAAATTAATATTATATGAAAAACTTACCAACCGGAACATTAATGTCTGATTCAGACATCTACTCAATGAAACAAGTCTCAAGCCTATCACTTGTAGTTTCATTTCCTGATATTACATGTGGGATGCGTAATTATTATGACCAATTTGCTTCAGAACTTTGACAGTTAATCATCAATCGGAACTTGTTGACTAAGCTCTTGGAACTGCTATAAAGAAATCCGCTACACGAAATTGACCCCTTGGCCTGTCTTCAGTGAAGCAACGACAAAAAAACCACTAAGCATGTTTCCCACTACGTGAAAATTAGCTGGGAACCAGCTTCAAGCAATACCCATCATATGGCATTGTGGCTGGTAACCCAGCGCTTCTAAGCAGAATTTCTCTGTGCCAAGGCAAATCTGCTTAAAACTTCCATGAATGTAGCCCCTTGAATAGAGATCTTCCAAGTCACAGACCTTGATGAGTTTATCTCCTTTTTTAAGTCGGCCGTCAGACTTGGCTGGGTCCTGAATGACATCCTTGATGTAGCAGCCGCCCGAGTTGGCCCCGCCGGCCACAGTGAATCCTAGACCGCCCTTGGCTGGCTTGATCAGGGTCACCTCTACGTACTCCTGAAGGCACAAAAATCAATCTAATTGTTAAAAAATGGCAATAGAAATTATATGAAGTCCACTTCACAAGTCTCAATCTAGAGAAATTTAATCAGAAAACATTAGGAAACAGTTGCTCCATGCAGGTTGCGACATAAAAACCTACCCCGCTTGACGGATCAGCGAAAGACTTGATGGGCGAGCTCAGACTACTGTTTGGCGAGGTCAAAGGTGACATCACAGGTGACCTCACCTTCACCTCGGGTTCCCTGGACGACGGGGGAGCGAGACTGAGGGATTGGGCCTCCGAGGGGTCCAGGGCGAGAGACGGGGACTCCGGGGGAGAAGACGGGGACTCCGGGGGTGAGAACTGGTCTGTGGTGTTCAGCAGGGTAGGGAAGAAGAGGGATGTGGGGGCGTCGTCCTGGGTCTGAGATTCCTTGGTGACTTTAGGGCTGGACGAGGAAGACAACTTCTGCTCAAACGTCTTTTCATCCTCCTGAATATAAAAAAAAGGGGGGAAAAATACATTTTTGGATCGAGTCCTCAATTTTTTTGGGGGGTATGAGGAGGATATTTTAACAAGTGAGAGGATTATTTATTCAGTCTTTCAAAGGCTCATTTACCCTTGGCAAATTAGGCATTATGCTTCTCCCTTGCACGTGCCATTATGTGAGATCAAAGTAGGTTGGCCTGTTTGTTAATCTTCCACCAGAGTGGAGACACCGCAACATTTTCATGACTGTTGAGTACGAGTAGCAGAAGGAGTACTTCCAACATTGCTAAAACATAAGCCCTACAAAAAAAAAATGTAGCAATTTTAATATTGGGTTTTCTTTCACTCCCGTTTACACCAGCAAATTTGGTGGTCAAGTGGTTAAACATCTGTTTGCATCTGACTACAGTAAGTGTGTAAAGTTGTTTATTTTCCTCACAAGCTCCAAGAAAGCATTGAGTATCCAGTGCTTATCTCTTTTCATTGGTGCAGGGCCAAACCAACACTGTGACTTCGCAAAAATTCCATCCAAAATCAATTACAAGATACAAATGGCAATGTACAACCAGGTTCAGATGGTATTCTTACGTAAAGGGTGAGAAGGTCCAGTTCCTCATCGCTGGGCCGACAAAGAAGCAGGCGAACATCTTGGGGTGCTCCCCTCAATACCGCTACCGTCTCCTATGAAGGACCAAGAAACACAATCATTGACGGACATTTACACGTATTGCACTTTGTCTACGTCTGAAGTCAAGTGAGAACATGCATGCCACATATTATTTAATCAAATGTGATGAGAATCGTAGCAAGGCATTGAAACACATATGTGACCTGTTCTGTCAAAAGGAGACCCTTCTGGACAGAGGTTGAAATTGAGATAGGGCCAAACAATGCTGTGGGGGTGAATCTTTTTGATTTTCTAATTTTTGCATATTTGTAACCTTAAACATGTCTAAAACATACTATAAAAGTTTGAAACCCTACTCTGTACTCTAAATATAGTATTTTTGATGATTTGTTAAGGTATATCAGTTAAAGAAATGTCACTTGAAACAGGTCTTAAAATAGACCCCAAACTTTTAACTGCCATTTTCTTTGGTTTCTACTTTTCGAGACGATGAACTTCAATATAACATAAGTTTGCCCAGGAATGACCGGTTGCACAAATTAAACCAACTATTAAAAGGAAAATGTACATATTTTACCAATATGCAAGAATCTCATTTTTGACCTTAGGCCAAAAAAAAAAAATATTCGGTCTCTGGTCAGACCAAAGTTCCGGAATTGACGCGGCCACGCGGCTTTTTTTTTTTTTTTTGGCTTTTTTTTCTTTTTTTCTTCAAGCTTGGATTGTACAGACAAGGTGGGTACTATTTTGCTTTTTTGGTGTCCTCATGTACATTGGTGTCCTCCATAATTTGCCTTGGTGCTTTCGATCATTTGCCTTGGTGCAATTTCCCATTCCTTGATGCTCTTTGGTAAAAAAAATTGAGGAGGTGCGGAAATAGAGGGCGCTGTTGGAGCTACTGCAGAACATTTTGGAAGAAAAAAAAGATCGACGCGCATGATTAAAATCGACGCGCGCGCTGACCAGAGACCGACTTATTTTTTTTTTTTGCCTTACTTACATTATGCGTCATGTCATATACAGGCTGCTCATTGACAGTCAATATGATGTCTCCTTCCTCCACCAGGCCGCTAGCCGCAGCCTTCTGGCCGGCAAAGACCTTCTTGATGCGCAGCAGGCAGGCCTTGAGATCCTTGTGGCTTCCCCTGCCACCCTGGATGCTGAAGCCTAGCCCCTGGGTGCCCTTGGTCAGCTGCACCTCAAAGCTGTTCTCTGAAAGAGTGGAAAACGTACAAAAGGTTATCAAGTTGTCAACTGAGTAAAAGGCATTTTTTATTGACACAGTCCGAAAAAAGTTTAAAAAGAGTTTATAAATGCCTTTAGAGATTGGCAGATAAAGGAAAAATGCTACAAATGGTTCTGAAACAATGACAAATATTGCAATGTGATATAAAATTAGTGGGTCAAATTGTGTTTCAGTTATTGAGAAAGTCTTGAGAATTTAAAAAACACCTGTCGTACATGACGTCACTGGCAAAATTACACATACAGTGAAATCTTGGTAAGTCAAAACTGGCTAACTCGAAAACGCTTTTAACTCAAAGTAAGAACTTCTTCCCGTCTATTGTCGGTTGTTGAAATGAAAAACCATTTGCTAACTCAAAACTCTGCTTAACTCAAAATTTGAGCCCATTCCCCTGAGGTTTGATGTGTACAAACCTCATTGTGTTTGCGTTTACATTTTGGTTAGAATTTTGAGCCCTCTTTTTGTTCTCAAAGATATTGTTATGAATGAGAGATGGTAACCACTTTCACACACATCAATAACATTTTTAGACGATAATTAAATGAATGTCTGATAAGAGTATCTCAAGTGACCAGCAGGATTCAAGAATATTAGAAATTGTTTTTAATCAACTAGTTATCATTTTGTCATTTTAAATTCTAAAAAATATAAAATTTCAAATCTGCGAAAGATCATCAATGTTTAAGCACACCTGGGGTAACGTAAGGCAGATCAGGAAGCTCAATGTTACCCTCCAGTCCCATGGTAGACATCATAGTCTGAGTCAGGGTGAGCGCCCCTACGCTGCTCATCGATGACGTCGGGGACGGCGATTTATTGGGCAGCTTGAGGAGCGAATCGTCCGGCAGGATCAGAGGAGGTAGATCAGGGGTAGCGCTCCGACTGGTCCCGGACACGTCACTGGGGAGCGGGAGGGTGCCGTCAAGGGAAGGGAAGGGGGACTGGGAGTTCAGGGTGTCACTGCCGCGGCTCGGCGATAGGTTCGTTGCAGCAGATGGTGATGTCATGATGGTCTCTGTCCTGATATTTGGAAGTTCAGTGGATTTTGTACTGATGACCGTGTTATTAGCAGCTTGGTGGTCGTGCATGATCGGAGATGGCATTATTTCCTCATCAGCGTCATCACTTATGAACTCATCGTCGCGTAACGAGCGACCGTCAAGGGATGGTGAACGCGACCCGTACTCCGTGGAAGGAGTTGGCGACCGCTCCTCGTAATCGTAATCCGTCCATTGATCTGCACTGGATCGTTGATCATCGGTACTCTGCTCGTGTATGATGGGTGCGGCCCCGCTGCGAAAGGAGGCGGACTTGGCACTCCATAATCCCTTCTCTAGCCCCCCTGTTGGGGTGCTGCGCCAGTCTAGGTGAGCAGTAGGGGTCAGGGTATCAGCCTCGCGGGTGCTAAGGACAGGGGAGGCGATTTCAGGGTCAAACCCCACCCCAATGACAGAATGCTCACTGGGGATGGGGGACTCGGACCTACTGCTGGTAGGTTGACTGTCAACTTCGCCGTCACTCATAGGGGTGGAACTTGGAAGCTCATAGTCCTGTAATATCACAGCGAGAAATTTGTATAAATTAAAAACCTTCACATGCTGTTTGACTCCATAGCCATGTTTTGGTATGGTGAAATGCATATAAATTGAACACATTTCAACCAAACATTTGGCTTCAATGATCATCCTCTTTGGTTCCAAAATTTGGTGTATAACTCTGCTGAGTACCAGCAGCTGAAAAACATTATAATGACTGACTGCTATTGGGAAATGATTTTGTGGCGGCCTCTGTGTTCGTCAAAGCAAAGTTCTACTTACAATTGATCAATGTACAAATTTGGCAAGCAGAAACTTTTGGCAACAATGTCTGACTATGAGTGAAATATTGCCAATGGATTTCGTCTGGGAGAAAGATAAGCCAAAGTAAAAAATGCATGTCCGTGCCCATCTTTATGATGAATAATATAATGAAGGATGGTTAGCCTTACCTTAAAAGCTTGAATAGTAGGTGTGGTCCCTCTGGATTCGCCCACACCATCGTTGATACTATCAACGTCATCCTTGGGCTCTTCCCTATCCAGTGGGTCCAAATAAGCTCTTCTCACTGTGGACCCCCTGGAGGATGTACTGTGCACCCAATCCTCATCATCTGACACTGGGGGTGGGGGAGCGTTTGACATCAGGGGTGGGGGAGCCTGTGACATCAGGGGTGGGGGAGCCCGTGACACACTGGCCGTCACAACCTCATCCACTGGGGACGCTACGGCGGACGACGGGATGGGAGTGGTGTCGCTCTCGCCCCGGGGTGCGTCACTGGATGCGTCTAGGGTTCTGTCCAGTGGTGTCTGGCGTTCGACATCAGTAAAGGATGTAACGCTACTGGGCCGATCTCCTGTTTAGCAAAGTTTTGTGAATAACAGTAGAAAAGATTTCCTTGCAACAAATTCAACAGCTATCACATTTTGAATTTTAATTGAATTTCCTTTTTCACTTGTATAATTTGTTTGATTTGGTCAAGCTTGTGGGGAGGGGGTTGTTTTCTGCTCTGTCCAGGGGTGTCGACTTGTGGTTCAGACTTTTTAATTACTATAGTTTTATGTTATCAATTTTTGAGATTTAAAATCACATTTTTAAATTTAATATATATTCCTTTTATTTATATAAATTGTTTGATTGTAAAGCGCCTTGGAGCATTTTCTAATGGATTCGGCGCTATAGAAATTTACATTATTATTATTATTATTAATTCATATTCAACATAAACAATATTGGCAATTAAAGGCTTGTTTATGAAAAAAAAGTCAAACGAGGTAAATTTCTTCAACGTACCTAGCTCTGCATTGCCACGAGAGGGTGCCTCAGCGTTCACTTGCTCCCTGGTGCTGGACATGATCATGGGCTCCCCGTTATCCCCGATGACTACCAGCGGGGAGGGGACCGGTGTCGGGGGCAGGTTGCTGGCCATGGAGGGAGGGATACCGCGCTCTATGACCAAGGAGCTTGACTCTGGAGCGCGACGCAGGGTCTCGACTGCCTGGCGATGGGTCACACCCTCCAGGGAATCCGAGTTGACCTGCAGGACACGGTCACCTGAAACAAAGTTGGACAACAGAAGACAACTTAATTATTTGTTACAATTTATAGTCCTGTTAACAACATAGGATTTTTTAGTTGTTTGTTCTAGCAAATGAGGTCACATGTGAACCCCTCTGTGAAAACATGTCTGTTTTGCTTCAGATCTAAACTTTTTTACAGAATGATTCCAAAGCACTATTTTCATTCCTTTTTGTCATCTTTATTTTTTACATTTAGCATTGAAGCAATGCGGAAAATAAAAAAAAACACTAGAACTTTTCAAATTTTACTGACAAAACTTAAAGCGGTTGGTCCAATTGTTGAGTTGAAACTGAATGTAAAGCTGTGCAACTTGCACAATGCCAGCACGCAATGCACAGGGACATTATAATGTGATGGAGAATGAAAGCGCCAGAATTGTTCAGCGTTGGAACTCACCGATTTGTATCCTGCCGTCCGTGTCTGCTGCACCCCCATGCACCATGGACTTGATGTAGATGCCACCGTGCTTGACACTGGTGTTGACGCCACCCTGAGAGAAACCAAAGATACAAAAATGATCATTCCGAAAGTTATAACACACCAAGGCCCTTAACAAAAGAAAACTCTGGTCACGTTTTCGACGGTAATTTTGACATGATACTTCATGAGACAAATTCACAAAAGTTGACGCACACCATCTTGGAGGTAGAACCTTGATTCCAATATGCTCAACATTTTCAATTCAACATTTTCAATTCAACATATAATAAGCAAATCTTCAAGAATTTTTTTATATTTTTACAATCCCTGTTTCAGGTAGTTTTAGACACTAAGGCAAAAAAAAAAAAGTCTCCGGTTTCTGGTATGGAGCTTGTCCAAAAAGTGGTGCAGCGACACGGCTTTTTTTTTTTTTACCCAACTTTTTTGCTTCAAATGTCGGCTGATGACTGCAAATGGTGCCCGACTAAACTTAGTACAAATAGGCCTATATGGGATTGGGAGTCCAGAGAGGCCACATAAAGCTTATTCTCGACCATAACTCATCTAAAAACACATTAAAAATGTGCAGCAGCAGGATTCCAGTCAAACCAGTGAGTTTGGCGGTTTTTAGACATCATCTTTCATTGAAAAAAAAAAATTTTCATTTTGCCGACGCGCATTGCTACAGTGACGCGCGCGCATACCAGAAACCGGAGACTTTTTTTTTTTGGCCTAAGACATGGATTTTTAATTTAATGAGAACTTAATTTGAACACATAGAGCATAAGAAAGTTTTAACTAGGAATGAGGAAAATGGTTTTTACGCACTCATCATTGTATGGCACCCTCACTGTTACTACTATTTGTCCATTGGGTGAAAAGTTAATCCACATCACAACAGTCAACAATGGCATAGTGTTACCCCGATCACAGAACATACAAATATCACCACTTGGAGGTTATGATTTTTATGTATAGCAATTGGACAGCTTGTGCTTTGTAGTCATGGAAACCAACAAAATATACAAAATCATGAAGGTTTATTTGTTAGAGCATCTGAGACTTACCGTGACACTGATTCCCAAGCTGTTGTTGCTTTTCTTCAGCTGGACCCTGTAGACATCGCCAAGCTTCAATTCCCCCTGACCTTTGACCTCCACCCCCTGACCCGCCTCTTCCTCATAATCGTCCTCAGCCTCCGTTTTGGTCATAGCGTCCGTGTTATCCACAGCCGAATCAAGGGCCTCGGCAGGAGAGGTGAAAAAATCACTCAGAGGGGAGTTGGCTGAGGCGGACAGTGAACCGTGGACTAGACGAGGCTTGGCTGAGGATTTGTGTTCGTCGGGGAACAGGTCGTCCAAATCCGAGCTTCTTGGGGTAGGGACATCCTCCTCATCCGAGCTGAAGTGGACATCACTTTGGTCAGCTGGCGAAGCCCTACTCTGACTTTTATCTCGCGACCTAGAACTATCTTCGTCAGCCACTGGCTTGATTTGATTATCGTGTGCGTTCTGATTTGAGTCTGTAGATCTTTGGGGTCGGGCGTTCTCAGCCGTCAAGAGCATACGGGCCCGGGTAGCCTTGGGGTTGGTCTGCGTAGCACTGCCATCACTTCCGTGACTCGCGTCTGACAACGCCAAGCTGTAGTTGGAGCCGAAGCTCTGAGGTCTTCGCTGGGGCTTACGCGGGGGCGTGTGCTTGCGTTTCTGGGTCCTGGGCGTGTCGGGCTGGTTGCCGTTGGTGGGCGGGAGCTGCAGCTGGGCCTGTGATTGGACGGCCTGGGTCGGAGTGATGACATCATCATCCTCCATGGGAACCTGTCGTTGCTGTTTGGAATCTGTTCAACAACAAGTATATATATATATAGCGATATCGTTACTGGTTGGCAATACACCATGTCACAACAAATTAGACTGAACTGCAACACAGATCTATTTCAAATTCCAGTTTGAATTTCTTGGGTGTGATAAAAAAAAATGTTTGCCTGATACATGTACTTGCACTTTCATTCAGAAATGAAAATATCAAACAGGAAAATCAACTCATTTAAGAATATAACAAAATAAACAAGCTAACAAACAAACAGAAAAAAATCGACTAACAAAACCATAAACTCAAATATTGCTAAGTACATAGTTAAGCAAAACACTGTGTTCGTTCTGTACAAAATCTATATGTTATTGCTAAGTTAACTTTAAGGGCCTATTTATACAGAATTGGGGTAACTGAAAGCGAAAACGAAAACTGAGATATCTCTAGGTAACAAACGATTACACATGGCTCTGCAGTGCCCAGATAATAGTTTAGACAATTTTTTTCCCACTGGCTCTTACCAGGACTTGATGACTTTGGCTGGGACACTATCAGCTGCACCGTGGCCGGAGCGTTGCTCAGGATGTCCACAGCCACACGGTGACTGATACCTTCTAGGCTTTGACCGTTGATGGAGATGATACGATCTCCTGGACGCAGCCGGCCGTCTCGGTCAGCTGGCCCGTCGGGGATGACCGACTGGACAAAGATGCCCAGGTCCAGACTGCGTGAGTTCTCACCCCCGACAATGGTCACACCTGAAGTACAAAAAATTAAATATAAAAAGTTTGATGTTATAACATATTCACTCTGAAAATGTGCGAAATGTTGCCAATTCCCAGTGCCAACACTTGCCATAAATGTTACAAATTTGCATTCAAGTTTGATCAAGCGCCAACTTAATTTTTTTCAAATGAAATATTGCATCATCAAGGACAAATAACAACGTCACATGGTAGTTGTTTGAAGTTCATTAATTCAAATTTAACCATCCACCCATGGCATCATGAATAGATGTCATCTGTTTAAGGCAATTTGGAGATTGAATTTATCACTATAAAAACATGTAATTTAAAATTGGTTTATTGAAAAATAAAATGTTTGAGTTGTACAAACCCTGAAGTTTCAAACACCAAGTAAGCCATGACTACCTGGACTAATTGTTTACCTACAAAATCCCCCAAAACCTGGTGAATTTATTTGGCAGGGATTAGGGTTGAACCACTTCTAGGTTAGCCACATACCTAGTCCATGACTGGAGTCCTTCTTGAGCGTGATGATGGAGATGTCTCTCTCAGGCTGCTCTGGGGGTGAGAGGTCATCGAGTCGCTCCTGTAAGGTCTCGCTGATCACTTCTGTGTGGTCATCCAGCGTGCCAGGACGGGTACGCTCGTGAGTGCGTATACTGGCATCTATGAGACAAAACACGAATTACGATGGCTCTCGCAAGACTAAGAGACCTATCTGCCTTTGCCACGGATTTTGCATCTAAATAATTTAAGTCATTACAAAGGCAAAAGTGTTCTTAGTGGCAAGTGGCCTGCAGTTGGTATTTCTGAAACATTACAAGTTGGCTTATAATATTCAACTTAAATGTATACATAGGTTTGGAATACTGACATACTAGTGTGGAAACTAGTGAAAAGATATTTGGAGAAAGACTTGTACATGCACATGATTCAAGTCAATAACTAAAACAAATGACATGAAGCTTGTCATGAACCTTAACTGAACACAAATGGACAGAAATAGGGCCTTCAAGTGACTTGGAAATTTTAACACAAGCAATTATTTTCATGTAATATTACTTTCTCTTCAGGATGTGTTGAATACATCATTCAAAACATCGAGTAAAGCTATGTTCAAATTGATTGAGAACTACATAAATTTGGGTAAACTAGAAACTTGAAGGCATTATCAAAACTGTACTTACCGATGACTTGAGGCATATCCACCTCATCCAGGCCTAGGATCTCCCGCCCGTCCTCATCCATGTCTTCACTGTCTTGAGAACGGTGACCTTCCTGTATCTCCATATCTGCCACGGTAGCGTAGGGATTCTCGTCCTCGTAGGCTTGGCGACCAGACTCCGAAGTCACTGCTTTGGGTTCAGGGGTACGGGCTCTGGCTCGGGACGGTTGACGCTCCTTGTCTGGTGATTTCCGGCTTGGTGTGTGGTTGCGGCTGTGGCTATGGCCATGGTTGTGACCGTTCTCCCCCTGGGGGGAGGCGTCATTGGAGCTCCCACTGTGAAAGCTCAGGTGCTGGTTCTGCCGCTCCAAGCGGCTGCTTCGCGACTCCGACAGCCGGCGTCCCTGCGACGCCTTACTTGACGACCTGCCGACCTTCAGCTCGTCGTAAGGGATCGTCTCCTTGCTGTGGTAGTCCTTCCCATGATGCCTGCTGTTCTTCTCATTCCGGTGATTTGGCAACGTCCGGCTAGGGGACTCATTCCGCTGTCTCCGTTCTTGACTGCCCTCCCTCTGGCTTTTGGGAAAAGCGGGCTGATTCTGATAGATCGGTGGATCTCTCTCCCACCGTCTGTCTGGTGAAGATGATGATCGATTCTGATTACCCATAGCAATCTCTTCGTAATCTGGCACGTGCTGTTGTTGTCCGTTGACATCCTCTTGGCCTTGGAGGAATAGGCTCTCGGGAACTGAGTTTTGAATGCTTCCGTTGTCATCGTCGTCAGAGAAATCCAGTTCATCTTGGTAGTCATTGTATGCTGAGAACCGGAGTGAGTCGGTGAAGGATTCTGCCTCCACGGGAAAATCTTCAAAGGAAGCACAAAAACAAAAGATATAATACAGACGCCACAAGAAGAGGGTGCTTTATACCAATCAGAAGCCCCTCGACCACAACTGTTCCTATAACTTGACATCATCTTTAAACATCTGGTTCTGTGGGACCATATTTAGTAACGTCCCCACTGATTAGTGTAGGTAATTCCGATCTTGATCTACAGCACCCATATTAGATGGGCATCTTCAAGGTTTTACAGGCAAGGTATCCATCAACTTGTCCAGGATCATAACAATAAATTACATTTAACGATGGTTGTTGCAAAGGCACCAAATGAATGGCACTCACACAAATTAATATACAAAAAAATAGGACTTCATCTTCACTTTGGATCACAAGCTTTGAGATTGTTTCTAGAAATTACGTCTTTTAATCATCCCTGATTTCCATGGCAATTCAATCTATTCCTCTGGATGGCGTAACGTTTACCTTGACCAAACTTGCGGGAGGTGTTTGCCTTCAGACGCATCGCCATCTGAAACTTGTGCTGGGACTGGCAGAGCTGGAGCATGTACCGCCCTCTGTTGGCGAGAACAAACACAACATGAGCATGAACCAATTTTAAGCAATTTACCGAACAAGACTTTTAGTTAGTAGCTGTTATTGTACAGCAAAGATATTTTTGTGCTTGGTCCCAGACAATCCTACGTAATGTCAGGAGTGAGAGATTAAGAGTTGCAGATACAATACGAATATATTCCTTGTAGGCAGGGATCGTAACCTCTTGCCCAGAACCACTGTTTTGGCCTTTGACATTTACAAATATGTGGAAAAACACTGACAAGAGACCTTTAAGCATCTAGAATGGCTACCAGTAGGGATATGGTCAGTGGTTAACATTTTGTTCTATTCTAACCAGTGCTTGCAGAACAACTTATTTAAAGATGTACTGTCTGAACTTCTTTCAAATTACACCACAAAAACAAATTGCTTTTTCACTTTTGAATGAGACATCGACTGCAAAAAATTAGCCCACGTTTCTGTCAGATTGACATATACAACAAATGGGGGAAATTAAATTAATATCCACTTACTTTTTGTAGTTTTCGGTGTAATGGATGTATTTACTGGTAGTTCCGTCATTCGCTTCGACGGAAAACTTCTTTCTCTATTTTGGAAAGAGAAACACGATAAACAGTTTCTTTAAGATATGCTGTTTTGTTAGTATGATACTCAAAGCTTAAATCAAAGTTTAAAGTAGAAATTTGAGTTATCTTGGGATCATTAATCGAGTATGGACACTTCCAGTGTAATGAAAGGCAGAGTAATGTCCATAACAGAGCCAATTAACAACATCTAATTAATGATTCAGAGAAATGATCCCAAACTCCTAGTCTGTAATCTCCTTGACCATTTCTAGTTGACGGATGTGTGAGATTTGAAAAAAATATATCACATTGTCAGGTTTATTCACTGAGCTGTTAAAAGTTGTCACAGACATTACATAACGCTGGAATTCTAACTTAATTTTCAGATAATGAACATCAAAGCACTATTCAAATCTGCAATCCATGGAGCACTGTTCTTATTTTATGATTTTAAGATTTCATCTGTCTTACATTGAAAGCAATCTTCCTGGTCAGGTGCCATGGGTGTGCATGGATCTGTTGTCGCACACTGCCATGTTTCTCGTAGACAATGATGCCGCGGGTGCAGATACCCAGCCAGATGGAGGCGCTGGGATCCTTCTTACTGCGGGAGGCACGGTGGAAATGGATGCCGTACTCCTGTAGTTTCCTCGCTTCCTAGAGTTAAAAAAAAAATCAACATTTCCAAAATCTTTACGGTTACAATCTTGGAACAGCTTCTCATCAAGGTTGAATTTCTTTAAAGCTCTCCCAATGCTGTTTTAGTGTCACCCTGAAAACTCTCCCTTTTTAAAATAAATTTCTCTATTCGAGCAAAACGATAGCTATTCACTTTTGAATGAGACATGGAATGTAAAAACTCGGCCCACATTTAATTATAGAATAATGACTTTACAAATTTGCAGACCAGAAATTTGGTCCGTTTAAAAAGAAGGGAAATTTGAAGGACAAAACCAAATTTAAATTAGGTTTTGCCCTTCACCGCCGTTTTTAAACACTGTATACTCAGTGTGTTACCTCCCGAGTGAAAGTTGGAAAAAATCACTCGGGTGGGACTCGAACCCACGACCAGATGTCTTACCACTCGACCACCGAGCTAACGGGATCGGTTGGCCGGTTCGAAAACCAAATTTGTTTAAGCACTTTACAAAAATGTCAAGAAAAATATTATTTTTATTCAATTCTTACTAATTTTTGGCTAACATGCTTTTTGTGTTATTGAAATTCCTACCAGAAAGCATATCAATGAAATATGAATATTTAAGTAAAAGGACTCCAAACAAACATACCATCAAAAACTCCATCTCAGCTTGCAGCTCCCCCATGCCGGAGTGAGTGGCGTGCATGGGGGGCAGGGACTGCCTGATCCGCGGGACGCCCACCGTATCAATGATCCCCGAGGGAACGTAGTGCTCTGGCAGAAAGTAGTTCCGGCTCATGGTCTCGGCGTGGTAGTCCCCCATCTCGGCCTGCAGTGCCAGGGAGGCTAGCTGTAGTGCGGCCCGCTCGTCGCATCGCGTCCTCTCCTCCAGGATATCCCTCCGCAGCTGCAAGTAGTACTGGTGGCGGGTGAGTTGGTCCCTGCACAAAGACACAGTTTCATATTACACAGGGTTAAACTGGTTGCCCTACAATATTCCTTTGCTGTATTAACCTTATGGGTCATTTTATAAATTTGGGGTCGAGTTTTTTCCTGTCCCTGTCACATTTGACATCTATGATTTTATAATGCTGATGCACTCCATAATGCAGTCGTACTCTAAGAATAGCAAATTACCTACCCATCAAATAAAAATCGATCGATACCTGAATAGCGATTTACAAAGTACCAAGGTAACAGGGACCCAAAAAATGTCTCTCTATGGACCCTAAATTTAAAGAATAACCCACATGCATTTTCCACCTGATGGATGGTTCATCATGTGAATACGAATATGAAGCAAATATGAGGCAACAGAACACTCCTAGTGGAATTTCCTGGAGTTCAAATGTGGTCAATTCTTGCAAATTCCCAGCAGGAACACTTGACTACTTTGTATTTGCATTCAGGTAACCTGCCCTTAAAAGGCAACACTTTTCTTCTGCTGAAATAGGCACATACACATCCACTGTGTTGATTCTGTTATATGATGGTGGCAGTGCAAAGTAATGTTGCCACTTTTCTGCTTTTATTGCATAGGAGAGTCATGTGGGAAACATTTACTACTCACTTCAACATGGCCGTGTTCTCCAGATAGAACTTGATCCTGAAAAACAGCGTGAACTTGTCCCTAGCAACAACCTTCTTTGACCCCTTCTTGACCTCTTCCTTCCAGGAGTCTGGGCCCACCTTGAACAGCTTCACGTCCGACTCCAGAAAGAAGTACTCCCCATCTGATATTAGATAAGATAATATCCAAACCCTTGAGTATTGGGTTACAAATCATTTTACTTGTATTCTGACTTGTGCCTACTGTGTAAAATGAGCTTAGAATGAAAACAAACATGCCACAATTGTGATGCGATCAAGCTACATAAGTCGTTTGTCGGGAACTTTCATTTGGAGATTCAGGCCAAAGTAGAGCCACTTCATCACATCACTTCATCACATCTCTTGGTGTTCCGACTTCCATAATTTTTAAAGTAAAGATGGTACCAGCATGCGGTTTTGACAGCAGTTATGCTGAGATTGTGCTCTTTTCAAATCTGTAAAAAAAAACCTTTTACCAGGGTCGACAAACAACTCATTTAGCTTGATCGCATCACAACTGTTGACTTTTGTTTTCAATTTAAGGTTTGATCAATAGTTCTAGGATCCAGTCTTGGGAACTTTGGCACTGAGGCCCGAGAATTTCTAAGTATACCTCATGCGTGCTGCATTTAAGCTAATGAGGCCCATGAGGCATGCTCAGAATTTCTTGGATCCCAGTGCCAAAGTTCCAAAGACTGGCTTGCCGGGAATTGTGACCAGCTGTCTAACCAATCTCTTACCAAGACAAGTTCTGTTGAAACTTGTTTCAGAATGAAATGAACTTGTGATTGCTCAAGATACAAAACCTTTAATGTACCTTTAATGTAGGCTAGTCCAAAGTACACCTTCTCGCTCAGTCCAATGTGGGACGTGACGATGTCAAACATCTCTTGACCTTTGGTCCCGAGGTCACACATGAGGTCAAGCCGGCGGCCGTTCAGGAGCACCACGGTGACCTTCTTGCGGTCAGGGGGGATTTTACCCGCTTTACACTGGATAGAAAATGTAGAAGTTCATAGGAAAGATGGAGATTGGTTACAATTCAAAATTAAAGTAGTCACTGGAGCTATGCCTGCCTTTCAAATGTCTCTAGGTGATTTGGCATGGAACAATCCATACAATTTCATTTTGTAGGATTTTTGTAGCAATATAGGAGGGAAAACTGGCCATGTGGTTTAGAGTTTATGACTCATGATTGAAGGGCATGGGTTCAAATCATGCTCCTTGCCAGATCCTGTGTGCTTTGGCAAGCCATTTGACCCTACTTACCTCTTTAACTAAGGACTATAAATGAACATCGATAGTTGCTAGGAGGTACTAAAATAAAATTGTGGAGGCAGGTCACAGACATCTCATTATATTAGACAATAAATTAAAAGTTTTGTCACAAAGCAAGTGTACTTACCAGTATGGAAGGGGACATGTCCAAAGATTCGTTGGCAGTACTGCTCATCACTACAAATTCCGGTCCAAAAAATTTCTGTAAAAAAATATTCAAAAAAAAGGGTTGAAAATGGCGGTATGTCATACCAATCTTGTCATCTCAATTTCTATAACAGTGTGGATATTTGAGTATTATTTTCCTTTGGGTTTTTTTTTTGGGGGGGGAGGGTCTTTATGTAGATTTTCACATTAAGAAATACAGTAGTTATTGCACCCTAGACAAATGCTTTGTTACAATGATTGTACGGAAGACAATTTACTTACATAACATTAAATTTTTTTAATTAGATTTGCACAGCCGCCATTAAAACTTCATACTGTTTGGACTTCTGTCATGAGTCACATTCCATCTGATTTTCAAATGATGCATCAGTTTGTTTTTTTATACTTTTCTTACCTTGAGTTTCCTCTTTCCAGCAGGAGGATCCCTGGTACCGTTGCGTGCTGGCACCGCCTGGCCATTCACTGGTACTCGGTCAGGGGCTTTACCATTCTGCTGCCTGGGGGCGCTCTCCGCGCGCCGCAGCGATGAAGGCTTGGAAGTCGGTTGGGAGGAGGGGCCTGACGCTCGACGCTCCATCCCCTGGAGTTCGGCCCTGCGGTTGCGCGACCGGCCGCGGTCAGTTGACAGAGAGTCTGATGAGGCATACTGCTGCTGGTCAGGATAGAAACTTCCTAAAAATGCAAATACATCAATTGAACAAAACATAGATGTGTTTTTAAAGCATTTTATACCAAAGTCTCGAAGCACTAAGGGTGTTCATCAGGCCATGTAAGCAGATTCTGCAGCAGCTCGAGATCAGCGCAATCTGGTCTCAACCCTCACAGGAGTCCATTTATACTCCTGGTGGAGAGAGGCAGTTGTAGTCAAGTGTCTTGCCCAAGAACACAAGCACCACATTCTAAATCAGGGCTTGCACCCACATACCATTGCTCAAGAGTTGAACCCTGTAACCACTGGACCAGGCACTGCTGCCACTAACACTCAATTTCCTCGCAAGCGCAAAAGTGTGTTTGACACTCTTTAAAAAAACTTAAACAGATGCTTACCCTCCTGAGCAGACTCCATCGAGGTCAATGACTTGAGTGACCTGGCCCTGACCTTTGGCTCATGACCTGCATCGACCTCACTGCCCTCGTCGCTTACAGTCCCCCCGTCGCTATGGTAACCAAGTAACGGTCTGCGGATGTCCAGATCCCGGTGCCTGATGCCCAGCTGCTCCCTCAGCAGACGCAAGCGTTCCCGCCTCTCGTAGAGTCTGTCGTAAACCGCGTTGGTCTGAGGGTGCCGGCTCTCTCCCGAGGGCGGCGAGCGCGTTTTTTTGCTGAATCGGTCCGTGGAGCGGTCCCGTGACCTCGACCTCCCCCGCGACCTTTCCCTTGACCTGTCTCTCGATCTGGACCGGTCTCTCGATCGGGACTGATCTCTGGATCCCTCCCCCGAGGCCAACGTCGGGGTGAAAATGTCAGATAAATGGTACGACCGGCCAGTCTCCTCTACTCCCGTTGTCCGGTACGTCCGGTGCGGTAGCTGGGAGTCACGTACTCCTCTTGCATCACCGTAACTATCTTGGGAGTCGACAGTGCTAGTGCTGATATTCGAAGGATGGTGCGCGGATCGCGAGCGGCTGTGATGGCTGCTGCCATCTGGGGGTTCGTGGTGATAGTGCCGACTATCTTTGGCCGAGCGGGGCCGCTTGTTTGACGTAGCATTGTTGTTTGAGTTTTGGTGATAGCCAGGCCTCTTGCTTGGACTCAAACGCCCTGCAAAGGAATCATTGTCAAGTTACTGATATCGCAATGTGATATGCATGTTGAACCGTTCAAAATAGTAAACGTGAAGGTTGTTGTCATTCTTGTGTTTTTCTAGGAAGTATCAGGTATTAAATACATATTAGGCACAGCAATCTTTTTGTTATCCCAAGGTATAACAAGACCACATCACAAATAAGTAAAAATGCCAACGTTAAAAAAAAAAAAAAATCAGTACACTGCTTGTTCAATCAGGAACGCCTTGTATCAGCTGCTCCTGGTCCATACATTATCAATACTGATTGTGGGCGGGAACCAGCCTACCCAGCAAGAACAAAATTATTGTCACTAATTGAAACTGGTAAAATAATCATTTAATAACTAAACACTGGCAGATTTTTTTTGGTCGCTGTCTCATTTAAAAGTGAAAAACTTTTGTATTTTTCTAAAAAAATAGCAATTAATTTTTTTTCGGGATGAATCTCGAAAACAGCAACTTTAATCCCTCTGTTGCTGTCAGTGATAGCCCAAACAGCGCCCTCAATGGGGAATGCACAGAGCAGATAGCCCGCTACCCGAGGCCAGACTTACATGGGCAGTATGCAGGAGAGCTGCAGGAGCAGGGCCGGAAATCTCGGAAACGGTAAGGAGGAGGGAAGTTTTGATAGAAGGGTTGCACGTCTTGGTAGGTGAGATACGGTAGGGCAAAGAAAGAGTCTTGAGACAACAGGGTGCACAGAAAGAAGAGGAGAGACAGAAGGTGATTAGTTTACCACACCAATAAAATAGAGAAAAGAAAGAAAAAACTTAGTTGGTTAGTCCAAAAAAACACCACCAGTTGTGTTAAGCACTCAGAAACTGTGAACAGAGTTTGTACTAACAATATTTGTTATAGCTGGCTCTCAACTAAATTTTGCTGAATGAATAAATTGGCTAAGCTGCAATTTTTCTGCGTAGCTGCTTTCCGAAGTTACAACATCCCACAAAGTCTAGAATCACATAGCCTTGGTCTTCTTCTTCCCATCCCTTGAACTGAATATTTCTAGGTATTTTCAAGGAAAGAATGTTGCAACCTGACGCTACTTCAGCGGTTGTGTACAAAGTCTATGTAGAGTCAAGAAAATTGTCTAAGTATTTCCTAACAAAATTGGAAATGTTTCTCAGTCCCAGATTCATGTCTTATCATCATTTTTGTAAAATGACTGACCTCCATTGAGATGATATATTAAGAAAAAAGCAGCGTCAGGTTGCAACATTCTTTCCATTTTCCAAAGTAATTGTAATTTATGCCGAAGCTTGAAATAAATTACATTTTGGATGAATAAGCTCCATTTCAATTAAAAACGCTCTTTGTGAGTAACTATTCTGAAAGGTGCAAAATGCTAATTGATAAGGGAACAGGTGTTTTTTTTAGCTTACCAGAGTTTCTGTGGTGTTCCGGGGGCCCGCCATTCTGCACATAGGAGCCACTTCCATTGAGAGGGTTACTGCTGTTGAGATCAGCATCCACCTCATCCCCAGGGCTGTATGGATGCACCAGCTTGTCCAGCTACAATCAAGCGAGGAGATGTGTACAAGTAAGGACCAAGTAGAGTTGTGCTCCTACAGTCAGGGCCAAGTTCGGGCAAGGACCATTAGTCGACTAGTGGTTGATTTGTGACGTACCTTACGCCTGCGCACTGATAGCAACGTGTGAACATCTCTAGTCAAACGCTGGTCAAAATGTCATCGTAAAACTTCTGGATCCTGGCTCTCTGCTAGCGTTATGAATGCGCGCAGCTATTGGTTACCAGCCAAGCAACCAACCCCAGTAGGCTGGTTCCAAATAGTCAACTAGCGTAGTCAACCACCGTTGACTAGACAGAGTTCGGGCAAACGTTAGTTAACCATTGGTCAACTATAGTCCTTGCGCGAACTTGGCCAAAGTGTGTTCGTCACACTTGAATGTGCTACTGGTTGTGAATTGTAAAATCTGAATTTCTGACTACATACCTCATAGACACTGCCCATGACGATTCTGCTGAGCTTCATCACGTGGTGTGCGTACGGTAGCCCTGTGTGTGTCTGGCGTGCATGCAGTGTACATGCCTGCGAAAAAATACAATACAATCAACAAAATTCAATTTGCCGGATGACTTCCTGATAGAGTTTTACGCTCAAAGTTATCCTCACCATAAAAGTACAGTGTGGCTTTGCTTTGTAATTGTGGACATTTAGTGTTGTGCATTTTTGAATAATTTAGTTTGATTTGATGGAATATTTGACCACTGACACCGAGGTAAATTTATGATTATATATTTGTTTTCAACTTAGCTGACTAGCTGATATTTGGCATATTTTAAGGACGCAAATTACAGCTAATAATCCACACAGAAGCTCTAAAATCATGTGTTTAAATCAGTTTCACACAAAGACTTTGAACAGCACAGGTTCTCATTATTATAGCAAAACTTTGTGGGGAGGAGTTGTGATTTACCTCTAGGATATGTATCAGCGCCACTCTGGCGTCAGCATTGGCGTTGGTCATGGCAAGCAGTATGGACTGGAGGTCATGGGTCAAGGTTGGCCTACTGCCTGCTGGGGTGGAATACTCTGCTGCCCAGAACAGGGTCATCCCTAGAGAGTACACCAACATCTACAAAAGGAAAAGGGAAAAGAAAAACAGTATTATTTATAAATCAGCGAATGATATTATACAATTTTTTTACAACAAACCTCCATACGTTTATTTTGTATAACAGAAGCACATTTTTGGCCGGCAAACATTTACAATTTTCTCACGTTTTGCATTGCAAGTCACAGGGAATTGTTGACTGTAAATTTGAATAGACAGAAAAATCAAAGGAATTTTCTCATGATATCTGATTAAGATACAATATAACTATAAACTGGATTAGAGTATAAATTATTTTGTTATACCTCTGTCTTGAATACTGTATTTTCATTGGCCTAGAACGATCACGTGTTAAGTTTATGAAAAGTTATGGCACACTAATCCAAGGAATCCAAGACAGATGTATTACAAAACAATTGTTGACTGCTGTGATGTGGGATATGACTTTTTTAACACCCTCGGGGCGCATAGCAGCTGAGGCGATGCGCCCCTTGGGTGTTCAAAAGGTCATATCCCACATCACAGCAGCCAAAAATTGTTAAACAGACAGCATGGCCTCTATGGCGACCCAATAGCAAGATTATGACATCTGCAAAGATATCAGCCTGGAGGTAATATTTCCTCTGAATGCTTATGTACACTTTTACACAAGAATTTAAGAGTTAAAGGTTTAAGCTCAGCATCTTTCTATTTTCAAGACTATTGTGATCGTCACCTTGAACTGGACAATAAAATTAAGTTAACGGATGTGCTGGTAGACATGCTGTGTGAGCTGGAAAGGTCTGAAACCCAGTCTCCTACCAACCTTTTCCACAGCGGCATCGGATGGATTCATGTGGCCAGTCAGGACCTCTGGGGACAGGAAGTTCCTGATATCGGGAAGGGTTGGGTCAATCGTCTCGGCGAACGTAACGCGTCCGCTGGGCGTGAAGTGAAGCGTGTAGGGGCAGAGAACAAAGCGCGGTGTGCCCTGGACGACTGCCTCGCCTGTTATGAAAAAAAAAAAAACCGGAGAAAGAAATTTCAAACAAGGAAAAATTGGAAAGATTTTGAAATTCACTGTGTTACGTTCAACTATTTTCTATAATTGGAGAAATTGTAAAAACACATACGCCCATAATTAGCCCCTATCAACTGCACAGTGCTCGAAAAGTGCGTGGGTATTCAATTTTGCATGCCCACATGCATACAAGCACTGTTAGATCGATATTCCCTGCAGTTCGTTTCAGGCAGTGCAACATTGTCACACAGCAATTTCGACTTGCAAGCTCTTTAAATTTGCAACTTTTCAAATTGCATCATTTTTCATCAACCGTTGTCAATCTTGGACAATTTACAGTCTTTGGTAGCAAATGGGTTATCAAAATGTAGCTAACAACATTCCCCAAAGGTCTATATAAATGACGTCATCATAAGACGATCTGATTCAAAATTATGACCCCTCCAATGAGTGTGGACTTTCTTTTTTTTGCAGTGTTTACATCCCTGCAAAGTTTTATCAACTGTCCATGCACTGAGTCCACAGTGTCCAGTGGCCTGTTAGTTTCTCACTCACCTTGCAAGAAGACATCCTGCAGGGCCTTGGCGCTCTGGCACAGCACGCTCCAGAGTTCCTCCTCATTGAGCGGCCCGCTGCGTACCTCCAGCACATCGCTGACAGAGACCTTGACTGTCCCCTGAGACACGAGGCTCGAAACCGGCATGGCTGCCTGGAGAAAACAAGAGAAACACCATCACAATCAGAACTGTTTCAAATTTCGAAACGACATACAGTACATGTACATGTGCATCTATTCCTACCTCCATGATATCAACAATTTTGCAGTTGCTAAAAAATCTTCGGCTTAAATCTGCATCAAACTGTAATAATTTTTTTGTCTAAATACTGCACTTGCAATTCAATTCGGAACTAAATCTAACTGGACTGAAACAAGCCTTTGAGGGGACTCTAATAAAAGTTGATAATATTGACTCATTGTTTGAGTCCCATCCGAGTGATTTCTCCAACTTTCACTCAGGAGGTAACACACATAAAGTGTTTACTTGTCGGTGAAGGGCAAAACCTAATGTTGAATATTAGTTGGGTTGAAATACCATTAAAATCAATGAGGTACAGGGCACATTTGCGATGCCCAAATACCATTGGCATCCCCGTATCTTTGGACCCCCCCCCCCCCCCTATCTTTAGTGTTCCATACTAGCAGGAAAGAGAACATCACCTTAAACTAATACATAAAACTTTACACAATTTCACCACTTGGGACACAGTTTGCATAAAGCGCATTAATTTAAGCCACCCCTGCCTCCAGTACCAGTATGTACATGAAGAAGGCGGCACACTTAATCTGTCTTTGGAGCGTTCGAAACTCCACAAAGTGACACAATGGAAGGAAGCTGCTCAGTTTCTTATTGTCACCAGATTTTCTTCTTCTGTCAGGACTGTTAAGCTCATTATCTGGATGACAGGCCACAGCTATTGAAATCTCTTCTCAACAGATTTTTTGAAAAGGAAAGCCGTACATGTACATGTACATGTACATGTACATTTACATGTAGAACAAATTCCATTCAAACTACAGTTGGTTAGTACAGTTTAAATGCTTCTTGTTCTTTCAACATATTCATGTTGCGTGTGTAATGTGACTATACATGTACAGTACTTGTAAATCGTTATCATTATAAAGAATTTGGTCAATTTGCACAAGGTACCATACAATGTACATGCACACGTACATGTATACATGTATACATGAACATGTTCTTCATAACCCCCAGACTGACACACAAAGGGAGAACAAACAACAGATCCTTTTCAGTCGTCGGGCGTTGGGTCTTTTGTTCAAAACTGTCCTCTGAAATAGGTTTGTGTGCTTAGTCTAAGGGAGAGTGTTATATTACAGGGACAAAGGGAAACACAAAGCATTGTCCTCGGGAGTATTGTAAAACAAGAGTGTGTGTAATGGTACAAGTTTGCACTAAGTGGTGTGGCTATACGTGTACTTGTAACCAAACATTGCTTTCGTACCGGTATGTACCCATGTACTGTATTTTACCAAAATCAAGTGTGACCCAAGCCCCCAAAACTAGCAAAGTTCAATGCCTTGCCAGAATTTTGTTTTCAATAACTTTAACAATTTAAGCAATTTTTTTTTTTATCCTGATTGATTCATTTTACATGTACAACTAAAAAAGATCCTAGCAATTTAAAAAAAGATCCTAGCAATTAAAAACATCCTGGCAATTGAAAAAGATCACTGTTGATTCTGTGAAGTTCACAATTTCAAACCCTATTAACCTTGTCCTCACAGTGATTCCTTCCCTTTCATTGTATCACAGTGCAAGAATAGTCCCAACGCCTGTACAAGAGGCGATAAAGTCAAGTTGGTCTCTGATTGAACTTGTCATTGTCTGCCGATAAAAAGGAAATTCAGTATCTGAATCACCCCCTGACCTGCGATCACTCACCCTTGACATAACACAAACAGTGGTGGGCCCGTTACCATGGTACCCATGGTAGAGTTAAAAAGCTGAAATGCACTACATGTATAATAAATTCGTCGTGTTTACGTTTTACGCTGAACTCACTATCATCAGGAATTTGACACACTAGAGCTGGAGCAACAACTACGTTATAAAAAAATAGATCGTAAGAATCCCGAACGACGCGACCGTATATCTCCAGTGAATAACAAAAATGGTCCCTTTTCCCTCTATTATCCCAACCCAAATTCCACAATACGTACCTCATGTACCGGTACATGTATGTAGCTCAATTGTACATTGTCAAGCTTGTTTTCATGCAGACGTTTTTTTTGCCTGGGCTTTTGTACAAGCCTTTCTAAGCGAGTTTACATATACATTGTGCCGTAGGTGGTTAAGATGGCTTTAAATAGTCCAAACAACATCATTAGTATGTCAATATTCAAACTGAAAATAGGCATTTTTTAATAAATCTTCTTCACAAAACAGTTGTTTTATTCTATGTTACATGTATGTATGTCTGTGTCACAATCGTGTTCAGGAAAGTTTCAAATATTCTTGATGATACATGTATATAATCTTGAACTGTACTGTGGGTCCAAGAAAGGACCCTAGCCTTGATTAACATGTAATGATGCCGAGTGCCTTTTCAGTTTGTACACATGTACACGTATGTAATCCAATAATAATTATGTAGTAATAAATGTAAATCTATATTTACATGTGAGCTCTTAGAATGATTACAAGGACTTTAGGTACAGAATTTGCCTGACCAATTTTTTTTTACAATTCAAAGAAAAAATTATGCCTTCCTACCAACCATGACAAACCGAAACTGAATTTGTTTTTTCCTTCAAAATCAATACGAAAAGAGACAAAAAAAACTGTATGCAATGGCTTTTTAAAAGTACACACGTACAAAATCAATAAATTTATCATCAGCTAGAGCAGTGTGGGTGGTGTGTACATATAATTATGATGAATACAGAAAACACTCATTTTGGGTGTGTCTGTATGACACATTTTTAATGAAAAATTCCTGAAAGCAATGAATTGTTTGTAAATTCACTAGATGTAACGACGATTTACTCAACAGTAATATGAATGGTTGTGTTTATAAACACACAGCACCCAAGATCAAATTTGGTAGTAAACTCACATCAAAGGTTTCTGTAATCAATGATGACTGCTGTGGTTTGGTTGTGTGCATTTGAGCAGATGACCTACTGTGCACGAATGGCACACAAGGCCACTGTGTGCAGCAATAACAAGATTAGCATAACAAAAGCACTTCACACAACCAGCTTACTATGATTCAATACACAGTCATTCCTGCATTATTGGTACTTCAGAACACACTACTGAGATACACATATAATAGCCAACACTTACATGTATGATGTTTGATCTAAAGTTACATGTACATGTACGGTAGCTGATGCACCGAAATGTACAGAGTGCAGGCCTGACAGAGTGCCTGTACATAAGGCTGAACAAAGCAAATAGTTCTGCTTCCGGTTTCCCTACCTACCCTATTCTGACAGTCCTACCCTAACTTTTTTTATGGGAAAAATGAGGGAAAAAACACCCAAAACCATCAATTACTACCTTTTCCCTTTAACTACACGCAGATGCCTCCATATGATCAAGACAAAAAGTCCCCCCCCCCCAAAAAAATTCCCTACCAACCTACATGTACCTACACCTATTTTCAAATGCCATGTAATCGGAAGCACACATTTTTTTTTGGCCTAAGGGGTGTGTGCAAGGGAACCTGGGAACCGGGTACCCAACTAACCCAAGTACCCGACCGCTCATGTCAGGAACTGATTCCAGGTTTCTGTAACCAAATTTACAAATTATTTAGTAACTTCTCAGACAATAATAAAGAAAGGGTTTAATGACATTTTTGGGGGGACTTTTTCAAAATGAAAAAAAGGTTTCATGGACAACCAACAAAAACAGATTTCACGTTTATACTATGCATTTTTAACACACAACAGATTACACTCTGAAAAAAATTGCAACTTACACCGTAAATCCTCAGACAACTTCCATGATTGGAGTTTTGGGGTTGGGTTTATTTTACAGGAACCCGGGTACCCGTGTTTTACTTCAATAGGCTACCCAGTTCCCGTACTAAAAATGCACACCAACAACAAACAGTTGAGGTTCAGAAGTAGGTAAAAACCCAATCTAGAAATTCATTTCAGCCATACAGCAGGGCAAACTTGCAAGGAAAAATATAAATGAGCGTATTTGGGCTGGGGTTTTAATTCTTTATAGCGGGAGCTTAGAGAGAGAAGAGACCATTCATAATTCTGTGTTTCTGTAATAATTTTCATTGAAAGACCAATGAATTGAGAGCTTTTCGAGGTATATATATGCATCACAAAAACACAAACCTCTTTTCAGGGAAAGACCGCAAATAAGGAGAGTGCGTTGAAAAAACTAAAACGGCACACCGTGTACAGTTAATGGCGACCCCAATTGCCAATCAGTAGACTTGTCTCAGTGATTTTCGTTCTCCTTTTGGGGGAGGGGAGAGAAATCATCCTGCAGGCATATAATCTTTAACTTGAACATTACAGGGAAAATATATCAGACTTTATTCAGGGTAGGCCCGTGAACGTGGCTTGTGGGATTTCGAACCAAGTGAAATCGTCCCTCCATGACACAAACTGAACATTAGGGCCTACTTTACCGTGTGATAAGTCATGTAAGTACTCACAAACATACATGAAGCTTTCTTGAAAGTCTTTCTTGCTCTTATGCCAAATCTTGCATTTGAACGAAATTTGAGGGAAAATCTGGCCCCAGATCTCGACGTCCTGCAACCTCCTGACTGACTGGACTCAAACCAACCTCATCCCCGGTGCTTACTTTATTTCCAAACTTGTTTCCAATAGTAAACAGGAAGTGGAGACGAGGTTGGACTTTCCCCAACTGACGATGCGCATTGTATTATAGCGCCGTTTCGTATGATTCGACGGCTGTTTTCTGTCGCAGCTAAAAATAGACATTGTTTTAGACAAGTTTCCAGTCCTTTCCCTCTCTCACCGCACCACATGGGGCGCACTGCTCGCCGCGACGCAAAAATAAGAGGAAATCTTATTTTTATTTTTTCTGAACAAATAACAAGGACCTACTTTATAACTACAATGAATTCCTAAGCAAAAACTGCAAAGCAAATTTAAACCTTACTTTTAAACATTTAGTTCTTGTGCTAAAATTTATTGAATAAAAAAATAAATAATAACACAAACAGGTGGATCTGGCTTCCTATCAATTGAATTCATCAGATAAGAATATTCTTGTCTTTTCACTTCAATATCCAAATTGTATTATAATTAAGTTTAAAAAATGCAGTCATTACACTTTTCACCTCTTGTGTCATTTGTTGGCAAAACTGGACAGTTGCTCTTCATGCTCTAGCTTACGCCTGCTACTAAAGTCAGAAAAAATAAATAAATAAAAAGGCCAGGCACGGAAATGATCCTTGCTGATCTTGTTGGTGAACTGGGATACAAAGACGATCCATAGGTCTTCTTATGGTCAAAAAAAGATGAAGTAGCTGTCCTCCTCACAGGATCTAGATGCAACATGAAACAGCTGTCAATCTGTCCAAGCGACAACCATAATCGTATGCTTCACATGAAGCAGACGGGTAGCTCGGAGGGCTCCGATAATTTTACACGCAAATGACGCTGGGTACCTGTCCAGTTAACGTTAGAATCTAATTTCTACACGTTAGTATGGGTCTTCATTTTGGGCAAATTGCTTCGAAATGACACATCCTAAACGCACGTGCAGGCACACATAGATTTCTAGGCAAGTACTCAACCTGCATACGAAATGACACATCGATTTCGCTAGGTTCGAAATGATACCAGAGCGTGGCGTTGTATACAACGCCACGTTCACTGGTCTATATTTAGGGATGTTTTGGTCAAAAATTCAACTATGAATAAACAAGTTGAGATCATTATAAAAACCACTTCCCGCCTACCGCGATAATAGCGAGCCCACCTCCGTTCGCTTACTCCAAGCATGTCTATTTTCACAGGCATCGTACACAAAATAATCACACCACCATCGGGTTTGTTTTATATCAATATGAAAAGGACTTAAACAACACAAAAGACAGGGCAATTCGGGAAGGTTAGACATGTTAGAGGGCAATCTTCATTCAGAATGAGAAACGTGATAAGTACCGCGATAATAATTAATATGGCGTCCCATCCTAATTTTAATTATTACAATTTACAAACAAACTTTGTGAATTTCTCAAAACCTGACACACCACACTACACAGGAGTTCTTCTACATTTTTTGATACATGTTCCAAGTGTGGCCTTTATTTACGGAGGTAGTCCAGTAAATTGGCCACCCACCCCCCTTCACCCGAGTATATTATCACACTGCACGTTAAACCGCACGCAATGTATACAGAATTTCCTGTATACACTGCTGTGCAGTGCCGCACGCAATGTGTGCATGGCTATGCACACTGACATTGCCATTGGCAGCCGAGTTCCCATTCGAAACCTGACCAAAAATGTGTTAATACTCACCTTTTACAAGCAAGTTAGGTCACCAGAGGATTCTCAGGTATGAGTGTCATAGTGCCTATCATTATCCAGAATATATTCATCCAAGAAAGTGACTTTTCATGTTGCTGCATCCTTCGTAATTCCTCGCATAAAATTCTCACCAACCTGTTTCACAGGTGTTTTGGGTATGTTTTTCAACATTTCAAAGCGTCAGTGAGGCAGCCATTGGCCACATCCATTTCATCAAGGGGGATAATGTAAACAAAACAAATATGGTGTCCAATATTTTGAGTCATAGAAGACGAGATCATTCACTGTTTAAATCATTTATTTAAGTACAATTTATTATCTATTTCATCGTGATTCCATCCTGTTTGAAATTCAAAAGGAAAATGTTGCTTTTTTGTGACAGATTTTACTTAATTTTCCACCTAAACAAAATGGAACAACCCACAGGTAACGTTAATCAATTACTAAACTGGTTGCCTGTCTTCAATGGCAATACATTCATGCAGAAAAGACTTTTGGGTGTTGTTAGAAAAATAGTGGCCTTTGTTTTTCTTCCAGCGCAAAAAAAACATGAAAACAAATCGAATGTTTTATTTGAATGTGATAGTGTTGGTTTCATTTTTAAGCATCTGAGATTATTTTCCTTCCTCCATAGTTGACATCGTGCAAACTGTATGTCCCAACACGTATACCCGGCCACCACGTACAGCCCTATGATCAACTTTAACTTTGAGCTACATGTAGCTGTAGATAAACAGGCCGAGCAAGAGATACTTTTGTAGCATTTATCCCGGAAACAAGCAACAAGAAGTATTCGCTCATACCCCCCGCCCTGGCCCTGCAAACAGTTTGCAGGGCGGGTATGGCGTGTCAAACGTTGCAATATTCAATATTTTGCAATATATATGTTGGATGTTCAATATGTGTTTGTTATCTTTTACATTTATGTGCGATGTTCAATATAAGTGTGCGATGTTTTTCATTATTGCTTTATAAATACGATTGGGAAAAATTAGATGTTCATGAAAAAAACTTGCATTTTTTTTAAAGCAAAATAGGACACAATCAGATGATTCTGGAAAATTGCAGATTGTTAGGGCTTAACCCTGTATTTCTAGCAAAATTGGGCAAAAAGAAATGTTTATGAAAAATTTTAAATTGTAAGAGGTGTACCTTGTATATTTAGTAAAATTTGGCAAAATCAGATTTGTATGAAAAATCTAAAATGGTAAGGGGTTAACCTTGCTTTTTTAGCAAAATTTGGAGCATATTTTACTAAAATTGCGCAAAATCAGATGCTTCTAAAAAATCCAGATGTAAAGTTTCCACAAAAACAGCTGTTGAAAAAGAGCCCAATGTTGAACTTTACTGAGTCTTCATGAGGTCTATCGAGGGGACGATCCTTATTTCAACTCCCGGAGATTCGCTGACAGTCTCTATTTTTCTTTTTAAGAAAGTCGAAATAGCTGAAGAGGGAGGTGAGAATCTATATGTGCCCAGATACAAAGAGTAGAAATCTACGCGTCTGCCTTTTGAAAATACACAATTGCGGTTTTTATTGTTGCGTAATGATCCGCCTAGCACACGACTGTTTTGCACATTAGGCTGTGTTATGCAGCTTCCTAACAAACCAAACACACTGGGCTCATTATATCGACTTGTTTTTACCCATTAAGGTAAAGCAAATGGACCCAGTAATCTTCCTGGCGCGTTTGCTCACCTATAAAGACAACTTTTCTCAGTTTAAGGAAAATTCTAAGGTAACGAAATGGCCGAGTGGTTACGATTCGTCGTCCACGGTTAGCGGGGTCCCGGGTTCGAATCCCGCTGGTGTCTTTTTGGTTTTTAACGAATGAGTTCAATTATTCACTATAAGAGATTTAATTTCCCGTCGTAAAGTACCAACAGTACCTTAGCTTAATCGGTAAGCACTGCTGCTGGTACTGTCCGCGAATTCCAGGTTGGCGCCTTCGTACAGGTTCAGGGCATGTGGTCCACTCGGAGGATCAGGGCTTAGGGGCCGCCCTGTTCCTCCCTTAGCTCTTTGCTTTTACATGGTGCCTGGCCCTCCGGGGTTATATGGATGGATAGGGAAGGAAGTGTGTATTGGTCGGGGACGCCGAGACCCCGGAAGAGAACTAAGGGATCGGCTGGGGCATTGTTATGGCTCAGACCGATCCCTGAAAGCTTGACTAGCACATAACTTTTTGATTTTTTTTTACCCTCTATCTTTTATACTTTGGTTTAGTTTGATATCTACAGCTGCTCGGCACGTCTACAAGTAGTATCAAAATTGAAACAAAGGTGTATGTCATAAATCAATGAATATTTCATAATTGACTATAATCAAAACGGAGTTTCGTTTGATCAATTTGACTATCATTATATAATGACGCGATTGCCAATTGACGTAAGAAACGCCATAAATTATACCGGGAAAGAATAAAGATGTACATTGTAATATAAATATATTTATACATCTTTCAAATAACGTGTCTTTAATTGTGAACATTCCAAACAATACAGTAATTCGCAATAGTAATAGAATGGTATATGATAGCACGATCAATGCGTCTCTATTTAATTTACAAAAAAATAATTTAGGCCCCCATGTGTGAAATATTCTTTGATTGACTATGAGCATTCCATACGAATGAGTTAATTCGCAAAATATAGCAACAACAAAAGAGAAAGGAAAAAGAGAAAATTCTTTTACCCTAAAAACTGGAAAAATAATTTGTTTTAAAAAAGTCAAATGGGACACTTCATGTATTGATTTAACAGTTTGCAAGGGGTTAACCTTACATATTAGCAAAATTGGGAAAAATCAGATGTTTCTGGAAAATTGCAGCTTGTAAGGGGTGAACCTTGCATTTTTTAGCGAAATTGGGCAAAATCAGATCTTTCTGGAAAATTTCAGATTGTAAGGGGTTAACCTTGCTTTTGTAGTAAAATTTGGCAAAATAAGATGTGTATGAAAAATTTCAAATTGTAAGGGGTTAACCTTTCTTTTTTAGTAAAATTGGGAAAATTTAAATGTTTATGAAACATTTCAAATTGTCAGTGGTTAACCTTGCATTTTTTAGCAAAAAAGGGCAAAATCAGGTGTTTATGGAAAATTTCAGATGGTAAGGGGTTAACTTTGCATTTTTAGCAAAATTGGGCAAAATCAGATTTGTATAAAAAATCAAAAATTGTAAGGGGTAAACCTTGCCAAATTAGGGCAAAATCAGATGTTTCTTGAAAATTGCAGATTGTAAGGGGTTAACTTGGCATTTTTAGCATAACTGGGCAATATCAGATTTATATGAAAAATCTCAAATTGTAAGGGGTGAACCTTGTATTTTTAGCGAAATTGGGCAAAATCAGATCTTTCTGGACAATTTCAGATTGAAAGGGGTTAACCTTTCTTTTTTAGTGATATTTGGCAAAATAAGATGTGAATGAAAAATTTCAAATTGTAAGGGGTTAACCTTGCTTTTTTTAGTAAAATTGGGCAAATTTAAATGTTTATGAAAAATCTCAAATTGCAAGGGGTGAACCTTGCATTTTTGAGCAAAATAGGGCAAAATCAGGTGTTTATGAAAAATGTCAGATTGTAAGGGGTTCACCTTGCATTTTTAGCAAAATTGGGAAAAATCAGAATTGTATGAAAAATCAAAAATTGTAAGAGGTTAACCTTTGCCCAATTAGGGCAAAATCAGATGTTTCTGGAAAATTGCAGATTGAAAGGGGTTAACCTTGCATTTTTAGCAAAACTGGGCTATATCAGATTTTTATGAAAAATCTCAAATTGTAAGGGGTGAACCTTGCATTTTTAGCAAAATTGGGCAAAATCAGATGTTTCTGAAAAATTTCAGATGTAAGGGGGTTAACCTTGCTTTTTTAACGAAATTGGGAAAAATCAGATTTGTATGAAAAATCAAAAATTGTAAGGGGTTAACCTTTGCCAAATTAGGGCACTAAAAAAGCAAGGTTAAGGCCCCCCCCCCCAAAAAAAAGTCTCCGGTTTCTGGTATGGAGCTTGCCCAAAAAGTGGTGCGGCGACGCGGCTTTTTTTTTTTTTTACCTGACTTTTTGCTTCAAATGTCGGCTGATGACTGCAAATGGTGCCCGACTAAACTTAGTGCAAAATGTACGGGAGTCCAGTGAGTCCACATAAAGCTTATTCTCGATCATACCCCCATCTAAAAACACGTTAAAACTGTGCTGCAGCAGAATTCTAGTCAAACCAGTGAGTTTGGCGGTTTTGAGACATCATCTTTTATTGAAAAAAAACCTTTTTCATTTTGCCGACGCGCAGGGCTACGGCGACGCGCGCGCATACCAGAAACCGGAGACTTTTTTTTTTGGCCTAACCCCCTTACATCGGAAAATTTCAAATTGTTAGGGGTTAACCTTGCATTTTTAAGCAAAATACGGCAAAACCAGGTGTTCATGAAAAAAATTCAGATTGTAAAGGGTTCACCTTGCATTTTTAGCAAAATTGGGAAAAATCAGATTTGTATGAAAAATCAAAAATTGTAAGGGGTTAACCTTTGCCAAATTAGGGCAAAATCAGATGTTTCTTGAAAATTGCAGATTGAAAGGGGTAAACCTTGCATTTTAAGCAAAATTGGGCAAAATCAGATGTTTCTGAAAAAAATTCCGATGTAAGGAATTAACCTTACTTTTTTTTTTAGTGAAATTTGGTACAAATTAGATGTTTATCGAAAATTTCAAATTGTAAGGGGTTCAGATTGCAATTTTCCAGAAACATCAGATTTTTTCCCCAATTTCGCTTAAAAAATACAATTTGAAATTTTCCATAAACATCTGATTTTGCCCTATTTTGCTAAAAAAAATGCAATCTTAACCCCTTACAATTTGAAATTTTTCATAAACACCTAATTTTTACCAAATTTCACTAAAGAAAAAAGTAAGGTTAATTCCTTACATCGGATTTTTTTCCAAAACATCTGATTTTGCCCAATTTTGCTAATATATGCAAGGTTCACCCCTTACAATTTGAGATTTTTCATAAAAATCTCATTTTGACCAATTTTGCTTAAAATGCAAGGTTAACCCCTTTCAATCTGCAATTTTCCAGAAACATCTGATTTTGCCCTAATTTGGCAAAGGTTAACCTCTTACAATTTTTGATTTTTCATACAAATCTGATTATTCCCAATTTTGCTAAAAATGCAAGGTGAACCCTTTACAATCTGAAATTTTTCATTAACACCTGGTTTTGTCGTATTTTGCTCAAAAATGCAAGGTTAACCCCTAACAATTTGAAATTTTTCATGCACATTAAAATTTGCCCAATTTTACTAAAAAAGCAAGGTTAACCCCCTTACATCTGAAATTTTTCAGAAACATCTGATTTTGGCCAATTTTGCTAAAAATGCAAGGTTCACCCCTTACAGTTTGAGATTTTTCATAAAAATCTGATATTGCCCAGTTTTGCTAAAAATGCAAGGTTAACCCCTTTCAATCTGCAATTTTCCAGAAACATCTGATTTTGCCCTAATTGGGCAAAGGTTAACCTCTTACAATTTTTGATTTTTCATACAAATCCGGTCTGATTTTTCAAAATTTTGCTAAAAATGCAAGGTTAACCCCTTACAATCTAACATTTTTCATAAACACCTGATTTTGCCCTATTTTGCTCAAAAATGCAAGGTTCACCCCTTACAATTTGAGATTTTTCATAAACATTTAAATTTGCCCAATTTTACTACAAAAAGCAAGGTTAACCCCTTACAATTTGAAATTTTTCATTCACATCTTATTTTGCCAAATATCACTAAAAAAGCAAGGTAACCCCTTACAATCTGAAATTGTCCAGAAAGATCTGATTTTGCCCAATTTCGCTAAAAATACAAGGTTCACCCCTTAAAATTTGAGATTTTTCATATAAATCTGATATTGCCCAGTTATGCTAAAAATGCCAAGTTAACCCCTTACAATCTGCAATTTTCAAGAAACATCTGATTTTTCCCAATTTCGCTTAAAAAAGCAAAGTTAACCCCTTACAATCTGAAATTTTCCATAAACACCTGATTTTGCCCTATTTTGCTAAAAAATGCAAGGTTAACCACTGACAATTTGAAATGTTTCATAAACATTTAAATTTTCCCAATTTTACTAAAAAAGAAAGGTTAACCCCTTACAATTTGAAATTTTTTATACACATCTTGTTTTGCCAAATTTTACTACAAAAGCAAGGTTAACCCCTTACAATCTGAAATGTTCCAGAAAGATCTGATTTTGCCCAATTTCGCTAAAAAAATGCAAGGTTCACCCCTTACTATTTGAAATGTTTCATAAACATCTAAATTTTACTAAAAATGCAAGGTTAACCCCTTACAAGCTGCAATTTTCCAGAAACATCTGAGTTTTCCCAATTTTGCTAAAATGTAAGGCAAACTGTTAAATCAATACATGAAGTGCCCCATTTGACTTTTTTAAAACAAATTATTTTTCCAGTTTTTAGGGTAAAGGAATTTTCTCTTTTTCCTTTCTCTTTTGTTGTTGCGAATTAACTCATTCGTATGGAATGCTCATGATAGTCAATCAAAGAATATTTCACACATAGGGGCCTAAATTATATATTTTTAAAATTTAATAGAGACGCATTGATCGTGCTATCATATACCATTCTAATACCATTGCGAATTACTGTATTGTTTGGAATGCTCACAATTAAAGACACGTTATTTGAAAGATGTATAAATAACATTTATATTACAATGTACATCTTTATTCTTTCCCGGTAAAATTTATGGCGTTTCTTACGTCAATTGGCAATCGCGTCATTATATAATGATAGTCAAATTGATCAAACGAAACTCCGTTTTGGTTATAGTCAATTATGAAATATTCATTGATTTATGACAGACACCTTTGTTTCAATTTTGATACTACCCGTAGACCTGCCGAGCAGCTGTAGATATCAAACTAAACCAAAGTATAAAAGATAGAGGGTAAAAAAAATCAAAAAGTTATGTGCTAGTCAAGCTTTCAGGGATCGGTCTGAGCCATAACAATGCCCCAGCCGATCCCTTAGTTCTCTTCCGGGGTCTCGGCGTCCCCGACCAATACACACTTCCTTCCCTATCCATCCATATAACCCCGGAGGGCCAGGCACCATGTAAAAGCAAAGAGCTAAGGGAGGAACAGGGCGGCCCCTAAGCCCTGATCCTCCGAGTGGACCACATGCCCTGAACCTGTACGAAGGCGCCAACCTGGAATTCGCGGACAGTACCAGCAGCAGTGCTTACCGATTAAGCTAAGGTACTGTTGGTACTTAACGACGGGAAATTAAATCTCTTATAGTGAATAATTGAACTCATTCGTTAAAAACCAAAAAGACACCAGCGGGATTCGAACCCGGGACCCCGCTAACCGTGGACGACGAATCGTAACCACTCGGCCATTTCGTTACCTTAGAATTTTCCTTAAACTGAGAAAAGTTGTCTTTATAGGTGAGCAAACGCGCCAGGAAGATTACTGGGTCCATTTGCTTTACCTTAATGGGTAAAAACAAGTCGATATAATGAGCCCAGTGTGTTTGGTTTGTTAGGAAGCTGCATAACACAGCCTAATGTGCAAAACAGTCGTGTGCTAGGCGGATCATTACGCAACAATGAACAGACGCGTAGATTTCTACTCTTTGTATCTGGGCACATATAGATTCTCACCTCCCTCTTCAGCTATTTCGACTTTCTTAAAAAGAAAAATAGAGACTGTCAGCGAATCTCCGGGAGTTGAGATAAGGATCGTCCCCTCGATCGACCTCAGACTCAGTAAAGTTCAACATTGGGCTCTTTTTCAACAGCTGTTTTTGCGGAAACTTTACATCTGGATTTTTTAGAAGCATCTGATTTTGCCCAATTTTAGTAAAATATGCTCCAAATTTTGCTAAAAAAGCAAGGTTAACCCCTTACCATTTTAGATTTTTCATACAAATCTGATTTTGCCAAATTTTACTAAATATACAAGGTACACCTCTTACAATTTAAAATTTTTCATAAACATTTCTTTTTGCCCAATTTTGCTAGAAATATCAGGTTAAGCCGTAACAATCTGCAATTTTCCAGAATCATCTGATTGTGTCCTATTTTGCCAAAAAAAAAGCAAGGTTAGACCCCCCAAAAAAAGTCTCCGGTTTCTGGTATGGCTTTCTTGGTCTCTTCTGGTGACGGCGGGTTTCGTTCAACCTCAGTTGTGTGATGGGGTGGACGTGGCCGATTGGACTCAAATAGATCTACAGCATACTGATGCCAACGCTGTATTTCTTCTTCAGCTGTCTCCAATACCAGACCGTTTGCATCTTTGATGTTCACCACATCGCAAACATCGAAAACATCGTACATATACATCGTCAAAAACATCGCACATATAAATTGAAAATCGCATATAAATGTAAAACATCGCACACATATATTGAACATCGCACATATATTGTAAAACATCGCACACATATATTAAACATCGCGCAATTAATGAAAAACATCGCACACTTATATTAAACGTCGCACATAAATGTAAAAGATAACAAACACATATTGAACATCCAACATATATATTGCAAAATATTGAATATTGCAACGTTTGACACGCCATAGGCGGGGGTTACGAGCGAACAAGAAGTATTGACGATTGAGGGCGCAGGTCATGTATGGCAGGGCGCCGAGGCTTGGCTAGTTAAGCGCTAGGGTAGGGGCTCTAGGAAGTTGAGCTGAGTCGGCTACGTTGCGGAAGTAAACTGGAATCGTAAGTAGGTCATGCTCTTTGCCATTCCAGTATATTATCTTAAATAATCCGATTGCATGTTCAAAGTGTTGGGAGAAAATTCATAACACTGGTTTGTGTTTCAGCGACGGTGCTGGTGAGTAAATCCCTTGATTAAACTGATTGATTTGTCGGTGGAACTCGGGATGTTTTCAATCTTGAGGCTTCCTCCTTGTCCAGTTAAGTTGCCAGTGCACTAGTGGTTTGGTTATGTTGCCTGTTGGAGCTTTGGGAAAAGAAGGCTGTTGGGGAAAGAAGGCTGTTGGAGCATTGGGGAAAGAAGGCTGTTGGAGCATTGGGGAAAGAAGGCTGGAGGCTGGAGAGCCCCAGTCATACACTTAATGTAGGACTGATCATGCATCATGCATGGGTCCCCGCTAGCTATTGCACATCTCTTTCAGAACCATGTCATTTGCAATATATTCCTCAAAACGGAGAGAACTGTCTTAAAACCTGGATAATAATAGTTGCTAAACTTTTTCCAGTACTTGAATGATAAATAAAACCAGAGATGTTCACTTCTTACGTATATTTTGGCTGAAACTGAGGAGACCTTTGTTACAAACATGTCAACAAATACGACTGTCTTTTCATTGCCTCATGCATACACATTTTCTTGCTGGCTTAAACATCGCCACCATGCAGTCACTTCAAGATATTTGGATTGTGTCCCCAACCCCACAATACCATCCAGATTGTATACGACTGTTTCATGTCATATTCTGATATATTGATTGTGGTGCCTAGCCCCACGAGTGTGGCCGTCGGTATGCTGCGCTGAACCTTTGGCCACACACCGTGGTACCACGCGCTACTGAGGACGAAGTTTTCATAAAAATTCAGGGCAGTTTCTTACATTCTTAGTTTCTTACTTTCTTATGGTTGTATTCTATGATGTCTCACCTGTCACTTCTGGGATGCTTAGGTCTAATGATGTTCCATTTTCCGAGATATTCTTCAATCTTTCTGGAGCCCATATGCACTCGTGAAACGTCTGGTGGTGGCAGCCATTTTGAATGTGACAAGAGATGACCTCAAGCTGTGACGTCGCGTTTATGCAAATTGCTTGTCGAGCGCGCGAGGGCGCGAGTTGCAAATGCGACGGCTGTTTTCTGTGCCGTAGATCCTGAATAGAAATCGGTGCACGTGGCCCCCTGACGATAAATGCATGGTACAGGAAACAGCCGTCGCATTTGCAACTCGCGCCCTCGCGCGCTCGACAAGCAATTTGCATACACGCGACGTCACAGCTTGAGGTCATCTCTTGTCCCATTCAAAATGGCTGCCATCACCAGACGTTTCACGAGTGCATATGGACTCCAGAAAGATTTAAGAATATCTCGGAAAATGGAACATCATTAGACCTAAGCATCCCAGAAGTGACAGGTGAGACATCATAGAATACAACCATAAGAAAGTAAGAAACTGAGAATGTAAGAAACTGCCCTGAATTTTTATGAAAACTTCGTCCTCAGTAGCGCGCGGTACCACGGTGTGTGGCCAAAGGTTCAGCGCAGCATACCGACGGCCACACTAGTGGGGCTATGTGGTGCCCTGACGTGTGTTGTGATACTTATCTCAACTAATAGCAACATGTAACAGTCGTCTGGTATACATATTCAACATGGAAAACAGTGGCGGTGGAAGCGCACCCGACCATTGCTTAGCGCTGGTAAACAATGCGTGCTACTTAATGCAAAGTACCTTGCGTTGACCTGTGACGTGTTTACACTCGACAGTCATTTTGAGTGTGCTTCAGTGTGAGTTGACAAAAACAGACCTCCAAAAATTATCTGGAAAAACGTGAGTTGTCAGTATTTTACTATTCATCTTTTCATCATTTGGTGCATTATAGGTCTGTACTTCATACTGTATTAGTATAATACTTCAATATTGAATATATTATTAACCTTTTCGTATCTGAAAAAAATTGCCAGTTTTGCTATTGTGAGTTTCCTAGCGTTATGCATAAACATAACGCTAAAGATCATCCTAGCTAGGGTCCCCGCCAAAAACAGTACTTTGTTTTGATTGGGTAGTCGTGTAGTAACTAGTTTACCATTGTTTACGACAAAAATATGTTTTACAAGTTCCTAGCTTGACCTCTAGTTTCTAACTCGAAATCCTGATGAGCTGGAGAAGCTGTTCTCAACATCAACAGGTGTTTATCTAAACATTTCAGACAGGTCGATGCAAATATTACATCGTTCTGTCTACTGTCTACATGATCTAGTTTGATTGTCCTCATACACAGTATTGTGAGAGTCCCAAATTTTCGGACAAGGCGCATACTTGTATTTTTTTTAAAGCAGTATTTCTTCCACGTTTAGTCCTGCATAAATTACTGGAAAGATTCCCATACCTGGCCATCACTTGTCACCCTGTGCATAACGCTAAGGATCATCCTAGCTACCTGTGCACAAACCCTATGGGACTGGTCTGAAAATTTTTAAGTGTTTTCTCAGTAAAAATTCAAAATTTGTCCCTGCTAATTTTGACTTTTTAGGACATATTATCACTTTCTGATGGCTGATAGATCATTTAAGGGAAAAATTACTGATGGCCATGTATGGGACTCTTTCCCAATTACTTCCCAAAAAGAACGTACAATGCGGTATCCTGACGTCCCCTTTTGGGTTTTTTTTGCCAAGAATCTGATTTACGTACCATAATATTTATTCATATATTCAGGTTTGCTTTGTTGGATTTTTGGATCGTTACGCCCCAACTGGACCACAGTCCCAACTTCAAGGCAGAGTGCAGGCGCGGTTCTAGAGCCAATATTTTTTTTTTGGGGGGGGGCTAGCAAGGTGGATCCAGAATTTTTTTCAGGGAGGCGTGCTGAAATGTAGACAGGTTATTTTCTCCGGACACTTAGGCCTCTGAAAATCAATACGTTGGGGGGAGGGGGGGGGGGGGGGAGGGGGGGGGGGGGGGGGGGGGGCTTGTGCCAATATTTTCAGTGGGGAGCGCTGATATAATATCCTACAATCAGGCACACTATAGTAAACTATAAGTGTTAATGCACCCTTCTCATCTAGGGGAGACTGTTCCCTTGTACGTCAAGTTCTTACATTTTGCTAGTGCATTTCTTTTTTTTTATGGAATTTTTTTTGGGGGGGGGGGGGCTAGACACAATTTTGGAGGGGCTAAAGCTCCCCTTAGCCCCCCCCCCCCCCCCCCCCCCCCCCCCCCGTAGAACCGCCACTGGCAGAGTGGACCATTTGCAGCTCTCCAAAAAGTGACCGACCAAAATATTGTTAAAAAGCTCACTTAAGTTTAAAGTTAAAGATAGTAATGACACTAAACTGCCTGTCGGTATGACATAATTCCTTCTGGCAGGCTATCATTTTGAAGAAAACAATACAAGAAGGTCATTTCCAAAGATGTGTAAAGTGACACATTTTTGGAAATATCTGTTAGTAGTTGGTTTGTACTTGGGTGAATCTGTGAAAGGGTATGCACAAGGGTTGACACGATGTACACGCGCGCGCAATTGCTAATATTTCCTTGCTCTAGTGCGTGACATCGCGTAGCTGCAATCGCGAATGAGAACGTGTCCAAGATGCTGATTTCGGGTGCAATTCAAAATATATGACTCGGCAACATTTGACTTGAAACAATTGCAAACATTGCAATTGGTCCACTCTGTCTTTAATTAAGCCGGTGTCATATGAAAATAGGCCTGGTATGAAAATCGGACTCTTTTTCCCTTTAATTGGTTAAACCCTCTCACATGACTGGTTGCTCTCCTAATTATCTATGCATGAGCATGCGCAATACCACCAATGAGTCAGTATTTCATAAAACCTAAATTCATGCTACACCGGGACAGTCCCGAGTTAAGTGTTCCAGTTGGAACACTAAGGGACAGTCCCAACAAGTTGGGACCAATTATCTACATGTAGTTGGGACATAACAGGATTGTCTGGCTCAGCCACAAACCACTTCATGTCATAAGGGATTTAGAGATTACAAGCACTGAATTTTAAACGTTTCAGTTTAGAAGATTCCATGCAGAAGTACCTAGGGCTGGAGGAAATTGGAGTTTTTGAGTTTTCAGAGCTCTTTAGCTACCTCAGAATGTATTACTTCCTGAAGAATCCAAGTAGTACATGTACATGTAAGGGTCTAATTTGCGCAGTAGGCTGTACAAAGTTTGCCACTTACCTGTGCTTTGAATGCCAAAAAACAAAACAAGATTAAGGCCCCCAACAAAAATATTCGGTCTCTGGTCAGACCAAAGTCCTGGAATTGATGCGGGGACGCGGCTTTTTTTTTTTTTTGGCTTTTTTTTTTTTTTCTTCAAGCTTGGATTGTACAGACAAGGTGGGGTACTATTTTGCTACTTGGTGTCCTCATGTACAGTGGTGTCCTCCATAATTTGCCTTGGTGCTCTCGATCATTTGCCTTGGTGCAATTTCCCATTCCTTGGTGGTCTTTGGTAAAAAAAATTGAGGAGGTGCGGCAATAGAGGGCGCTGTTGAAAAAGAAAAAAAAATCGACGCGCGCGCTGACCAGAGACCGACTTATTGTTTTTTTTGGCCTAATGCGGTGTCTAAAAGACAAACTTGCAGTGATAAAAGTAAAAACCATTCAGTCATATAAAATTTATTTCAAATACGGTTTCAGGTATATTATAAGTATGTTTATTTTTAGCATCATATCTAATTGTTTTCATTTCAGTTGCATCCTGCATGGGATAATTTCTTCAAGCCACAAGGATAAATGTCAGATGTCATGTAGATGTGCATCAGGGTTGCATGACAGGTCCGCAAAAAAAAATAAATTCCTGAAGAATCCTAGAGGTACATGTACTTGAACATGGACCAACTGGTATGGGTCTAATTTGCGCAGTTGTACAAAATTTGCCAAATACCAGTACCCGTGCTTTAAATGCCAAAAAAAAAATAAAAAAATTAATTTGGTGTCTTGAAGACAAACTTGCAGTGATAAAAGTAAAAACTATGCAGACATTTATATTTATTTCCCATATAAAGCTTTACGTATCGTATGTATATTTAGCATCAAATCTAATTGTTTTCATTTGAGTTGTATCCTGTATACATGGGATATTTCTTCAAGCCACAAGGATAAATGTCAGATGTCATGTAGATGTAGATGTGCATCAGGGTTGCATGCCAGGGCCGTCAAAAAAAAAAAAAAAAAAAATCCCAGAAACTTCCTGAATATCTAGCCAAGCGAAAGCGTCATGTACTTCAACTTCCTTTGTTGAACTTCACATTGTATACCCGATGTACAGTTAATTTTTCCTGCAAAAATATTATTCATTTTTTTTCCTTGCAGAATTGAACGGCATGTAAATTTGAATGAGGAACACTTCTTCGTGGATGAACCCTGGAAGAGTACAACAGTGATTGTCGTTTGACATTTCAAGCAGTCGGCTGCAGGTATGTATAATTTAGGGAATCAGTGTAGCACTAACAGACCTGGGGCCAATTTCATAGAGCTGCTTAAGCACAAAATTTGCTTAAGCACAAAAACGTCTTGCTTAATAAAATCAGGTTACCGGCCAAAACTCCATGCGATTGTTATGCTAAGTAAACAACCGCTGAATACCAGTCACAAGCAATGTACATCGCATGCAGTTTTGGCCGGTAACCCAATTTTACTAAGCAATGTTTTTTCGTGCTTAAGCAAATTTTGTGCTTAAGCAGCTCTATGAAATTGGGCCTGCTTAATTTCATGGCACTGCTTGCATGTAATAACAGTAAGCAGAAAAGTTGTGCTCAAATAATAGCAGGAAATTGTGCTAATCTTAAGCACTATTTCAAGTTGTGGATTGCCGCTGGGCGAGTAACTCGAATACTCACGAGTAGTTTATGATGTTTTTTTAATCTACTGAGTACTTGTCCTGGCGCGAGTAGAAGCAGGGACTCACGAGTAGCAAATTAGGGTTTAGGGTTCACTGCTTAAAGCTATAGTCCATCATTTGCAGCCATCCGAAAAGTAACTGGCGTAATGATTGTTGAAAAACATACTTGGTTGAAAGATAGTAAGGCGACTAAACTCCCTGTGAAATTATTCTTTCTGGCAAGCTTGTCATTTTGAAGTAATCAACGAAAGAAGGCCTTTCCAACGGTGCGTCTTAAGACGCACTGTAGGAAAATTTAAATTAGTAGTTCGTTTTGTTAGCACTGGCAAGACGCACGCGCGTGGTTGCTATAATTCGTCGGATCAGTGCACGACATGGCATATATAGCTGCAATCGGCTCAGTGAGAACGCGTCTCGGACGCTGAATTCAGGCCCATTTCAAAACATGATTCAGCAACTTTTGATTTGAAATTGAGATCCTAGAATGCTGTTTTTCTCGGAATATACAGCTGAAGCTGAGCTGAAACTTCATCAGGTTAGTTGTTCAGTATCTTTTATTAGATTTTGAACACATCTGTTGCTTCAAACGAACAAAATGCACAAATTACAAATGATGGACTATATCTTTAATACGTCCCGTGCAAATGGGGAATCACTCCCTCTACCTCTCTCTGCCTGGGATTCCATTCGTCCACAAAAAAAATGACCCAAAATGTCGCACAGTAAGGATGTCTCAGTGCTAACGAATGTGGTGTGACTTGCAAGTAAATTGCTCGCAAGTTACTTCACGTCATACTAACGTGTATAAGTCATTTTCCTGCTTTTGTGGGAATTTGGTTAACTACTCACGAGTACTCAACTACATGTACTCGTGAGTAATTTCTTTGCGAGTACTCGAGTAGAAAAATCCACAACTCGCCCAGGCCTAGCATGGATGTACAACAGACGTTGCGAGTGCAGGGACATTTCTATTAAAGTTTTAAAGCAACTTTTTCCTCTGACATGTCTGAGGTAAGTCAGCCGTTTGCTGTGCTTACTGCTTACGATTTCCATGAAATAGACAAAGGCTCTGTAAGCAGAAAATAGAGTAATAGTAGCGGCATGAAATTGGGCCCTGGTCAAGTTGGTTTCCTAATCGTGGTAGCCTGATTTAGTCCATACGTACGCTGGCAATCAGAACGAACTGTGTTTATTTGTCATGTTTGTATAAACAGGAACTGAAAGTGCAGTGGGTTACTCAGAAACTGTTCACGTCATGTGTGCACGTGTGTGGAAATCACTGCCAACTGGTATCAGGAAAAACGTATTGACTGATGTACGTACATGTACCAGAAATCAAAGTGTATATTTTGGTAGTCCACGAAATACACAGTATACCTGTAACAAATGCAGTGTGTGTACACATTACACCAGGATGTACATGAACTGTACTTTGTTGTACATGTTCAAAGAATCTCTAGTTGATTTATCCTGCAGTACTGTTCGCTTGCGACTTGCTAGCTCAAGCAATTTTCACACACGTCTGTATATCCAACGTTATTGGAGTGAAAAATGCAATGTTCTTGACCACAACGAACAACTGGCAATATTCTACGCTTGTTTAACCACTTCGCGCCGGGATTATTTTTGCTGAAAAATTTCGATTTTTGCAAAAGGCAAAATTTTCCATATGTGCAGCCAAACGCCACAAATACTTATTCCCAAGAGTCATTTCAACAGTATTTGTACGATATTTCTTGCCGAAACCTCATATGTTTCAATACTCCGAGGTGTGCACTGGAATGTCCAATACGTCGTGCTCAGCGGCCAATTCAAGATCAACACACGGTCCGCCTCCACAGATTTCACGGACTTTGTGTGTGAGTACAAACACCACCAGGGATTAGCGTGTTTAGACGTCACCCGGAGGCAAGTCGAGGCAATCTTGACGTGTATAAAAACAGCCATTGTGTGTTATCACGTCCTCCGACACGAACTGGTTTTAGTGTGCATGTGTAGCATTTTGAAGGAAAAGGCTCAGATTTTACTTTTAGCAAGACCTTCCTGACAGGACATCCCTGTGTTCATCACATGCACAATGAACAGGTGGAGCAGCCTTCTGCATTGTGGCCACGATGTAAGTTGAAACCCTGCACTGAGGGATTATGGTACTTATGTCCCAGAGCAAGTTCGGACAAGGACCATTAGTCGACTAGTGGCTGATTTGTGACGTACCTTACGCCTGCGCACTAATAGCAATGTGCGAACGTCTCTAGTCAAACGCTGGTCAAAATGTCATCGCAAAACTTCTGGGTCCTGGCTCCCTGCTGTACGTTATGAATGCGCGCGGCTTTTGGTATCCAGCGATGCAACCAGCCCCAGTAGGCTGGTTCCAAATAGTCGACTAGCGTAGTCAACCATCGTCGACTAGACAGAGTTAGGCTAACTTTGGTCGAAAGGCTAACTTTAGTCGAACTATGGTTAACCATTGTTCAACAATAGTTCTTGCGCGAACTTGCCCCCAGCAGCAAGACATTTTCCCACAATTACTTCATACGATTTATTATGACCCTAAGGTATCGGCTTGATATCAATTGTATTTTGTTTTTAAAGAGAATATACATCATTTGCTTTTGCTGTAATTTTCAGAAATGGATGGAATTGGGGGGGTTGGAAATATAAAGCAAATATAGTTACACTGACTTTTTGGAGGTTTTGGGTTCGAAAATGCTATAAAAACCTAGAAAAACGATCATTTTCCTGTAGTCTGGTTCCCTGACTCCATATAAGAAGAAACAGAGCAGTTTACATACATTGGGGAATTGTAAGGTCAGGGAACCAGTCTAGCTGGCTCGTACCCGTTCATAGGTTTGTAATCGATTGCAAACAAGTGCAATGGTCAATTGGGGCCAGTATTTGAAAAAAAGCCAGTTGTTTCCAACGCTGATCGGCCGATCAGCATTGGAAATTGATACAAAAATACCAATTTTCTTTAAATAACAGTATACCAGGTGCCATAATTTTACAGGATGCTTTAGACTGTCATTTACCAACATCCTATTAAGGTATTTCGCAAAAACTTTGTAGTTTTATTTTTCGATGTTTGCAAATGTTGTATATTCCCTTTAAATTCTAGTATATCAGCTAAAGACTATTAATTCCATAGGCATAATATAAGAGTATTTAACCCTAACCTTCCCAAATCCTCCAAAATCATCTTGGCAAAATGAAGGATTTTGCAGGATTGAGGCTACATGCATGGTAGAAATGTGTGGCTGATTTTGGAGGATGCACTGTGTCAAGGTCTTGGGCCAGACCTTGTGTTGCTTATGCTCAGCCGTTCATACATTTAGGCCTAGATTATACTTGAAATCCTCCGCACTGCTCCAGGATGTCACTGGCTCTGCCTCAAACATATTGACAGTGATTGCTGGAGGATTTTGCAGGATTGAGGCAGTGGTCACCCCTCCAAGGGCCACATTCAAGAAATAAGGGAGGATTTTGCAGGATTGAGGCTGTATGCAATTTTTACATGGAGGTACAGGTGGTTGGAGGATTTTGCAGGATCGAGGTTGCATCTTTGCAAAAATGCCTAGGGAGTTACGATTAAGGACTTGCATATCATTGGCATTGAAATGTATTTATATGTTCCCAAAATGATTTGACTGTTACCTTCAAATAGGAATATTCTAAGCCTACAATACATTTGTAGAAGTCACGTACATAATTGTACATTGTACACTTACCTTCTAAACTTCTGTAATTTATCAGACATTTGTAGATGGGCTACAAAGCCCTCAACAATTTTCTCTGGCCCAGCCATGGAATACTTACTCATTTCTCTGTAGTTTGATCATTGTCATCTCTAGAGTCGTCATGACAGTACGGTAACAAACATGTTGGGTTGCCCATGAGTTTGTCAAGATTAGCCTGGTTCCTGTCAGCTGGTAGCATGGAGATCCCAGTTCAATCGACTGAATTGTCCTCCGTAACACTGTGCGTTGGGTCCGAGGCACGTCGCTCATAGTGCGTTGGCACATTCGTGATGATGAACGTCACACTTGTCGCGCTGAGCGTTCCAAGTTTCGAGTGCATTCAGTTGCCTCGCCTTGACCCCTCTGCGAGTTGATCAGGGGTACCTGAGCACGTGTCTGGGAGGGGCCAAAAAAACAGCTGCCGACCACTTCCTCCATACATTAACATCACAGAAAAAGAGAAGCTAGGCCTTTGTACTCACTCATCCTGAAGGGGGAAACTCTTCATTAGACGGAAGCATGGACTCCCTGAAGTCAGCTTCTATAGTAGCTCCCGTGGGACGCGCTGCCCCATACACTCTGCCCTCCTCAGAATCAAACGATCCGCAAAGTTAATTAGGATTTCCTGTTCCACATCCGCGTGAGTGCCTCGCAGCGTTACCCTTGTGCATCAGGGGAACTCTAACAAGGAAAGGAGAAGTCATCAACACCCCCCCCCCCAAGACGTCTTGAGACATGCTGGCCAGACGGAATTCGTCTCGGCGGAGCTTCTACACTAAGAGCTCGCGTCCCAAGGAGCACCACATTGCAACGATGGAACGGGTCAAGCCACCTCGCGCCC